GCTGCATCTTGTGCCAATGGAGTGCCACAAGATGCTGTGCGTAAAGCTCTGCGCTTTCCACCTTTATTTATGTGATCTTCCCACATGTGCTCACAGGGCTGTGATGAGAGCATAGTGGCATTAGTGGCATTAGTAACACTGTTAGATTGACCTGTAATGACCTAAATAATTACTTTCCCCTCTGCAGTAACACCATTATAATTACAGATTACACATACATAATTACAGATCAGATACTGCTTATTCAGAGGAGCTGCAAAGTTTTTCTGTTGTTTTGGGAAGTAAACAAGAACGAGACGAGGGATTAGAGACTTGAGTGATTTGGTCACATACAGAGCCACTCCCCCTCTGGACAAACCAGTAAAGACAATCTTTTGAAGCACAACAACGGACAGTGGACAGCGGCCCAATTATAAAAAGGAAAAGTTTAAAAATGTATTTTACAAAAAGAAGGAGGTGGGCTGGGCCAGGTAGGTATCAGGCTGGAGACAGCAGGGAGAGGTCAGGATGACACTGGCTTAAGGAGAGACACGTGAAATAATGCCTTAATGCCTGGACTGACGGAACCGCCACATCCTCCTCTTGATCTGGAAAAAGAGGAGGTTGAAAACCCAAAGAAACCATGAACGGGGTTATACCTGTGGCAGAGGATATTAGGGAGTTGTGATTGTATTCAGTCAAAAGCAGATAAGTGCTCCATGTGGCTGGGTTACGGGCGGTGACATAGTGCAGGGCTGTTTCTGGGTCTCACCATTGGATTGAGGGTGGTACCCAGACGAGAGGCTGACAGAAGCTCCCAGGGCTTGACAAAATGCCCTCCACACTGTAAATTGTTGTCCCCTGTCTGAAACAATATCTAGATTAGCAATTTCAGTAGAAGTTGGCAAAAATAGACGGAGGATCAATTACAAAAAGGAAAAAATCATTTATTTTACAGAAAGTAGGATGCAGGCTGGAGCGGGGCTGGACCAGGTAGGTATCAGGCTGGAGAAGGCAGGGATCACTGCAGAGCAGAAAAACAGGTAAATAAAAATATTCAGTTGAAAAATGTAGGTCAAAAAAACTCACTTGTGAGGAGCCAAGAGGTTCACTGTGTGTAGAGCAAAAACAATCTGGTAGAGTCTCACTATTGGGCAGGTGAGCAGGTAAGTAGTCAGGGATCTTGATTGCCAGCAGGTGAGAAAAATCACAGGTCCCAGGAGACCCCCCACCCCCTCCCCACACACACACAAAAGAGAGAGGAGCACCAGTCATAACAAAATCTGCAGCTAGAACAAGGAACTCTGACATTGAATCAATTAAAGGAATGTGGCAGAGGTGTAGTTACTATGCTTTCTATTTCCTTCCTTCCTCTTCATTCATCCAGCGCAATAAAGTTTCTCAGGATCACGAGATACTTTCGCAGGATCATGAGATTTTCTTTATTTAAATCCTCACCCACAGCCCTTGCGGGACTCCGTATTTGTCTGTTCTGGAGGAAACTGTGGACAGTTTGTGTCCTGGTTAATGCTGAGTAAAGTTTTCTCCTCAATGAGGCCTACCACATGTCTTTTAGATTAGAAGAAGAGCTATTTAGATTTTCATGATTTCAACAACTACCGAAGGGTGCCTTACCACAGCTTCACAGCCTTTTACTAAACAAACACCCTGGCCTCTCCGGTACTGTTCACAGATGGTTTACACCGGGGTGGGCAAACTACTGCCCGGAGGCCGTATGCGGCCCTTTAAACCTTTTAATCCGGCCCGCCGAACTGGAATAAATTACAATAATAAACCTTGTTGATGTTTTATTTGTCATGCATTTCCAGCGTTTCCCAGTAGATGGCGCACTATATATACATTTAGTTGCGGCGTATTATGTTGGCCGCAATGATTAATGGGAAAGTGTTCTTACAGGAGTTATTCGGACCATGAGTGAAGTAGTTGGTGTTTAAGATATAAGACTGCACTGCTTCCATTTTGAGTTGGTAGAAATCAATCAAGGAAATCTACGGGCTCTGAGTTGTAATTATTAATGTGTACAACATTTTGGAGTCAGGGTTTTACCACACTCACAGGTGTAAATTTGTAGTTGTTTGGCGTGAGCATTGTTGTTGAGCTGTTACCAGTCATATTCAAAAACGGTGAGCTCACGATATATAGTCACTTGTGGTGTGCAGTGGAACAGGTCTCAACAGTTTTATGTGTTCTGAATCTTTCACAGCAGTGATGAAACGTGTAGCGCGTGTCTGAAGTCCTAGTTAAATGTGAATAAGAATGTTATGAATCTGAGCTCTTAACACGTTAAGTCCTGTCTTCTGTCCGGCCCTTCAGTCAAACTTTAGGACCCTATGTGGCCCGTGAGCCAGAAAGTTTGCCCACCCCTGGTTTACACCCTATCTCACAGATAGAACATTTATCCTCCCAGTTCTATAAAATCACATGTGGTGTGCCCTAGGGTTCCATTTTAGGGTTTGTACTTTTTAACGTGTATGTGGTCTCTCTTGGCAGTGTCATCAGAAGGCATGGAATTAACTTCGTCAGTAATACAGATTATATGCAGCTTTAAATCTCTGCATCTCTTTTTAAATTCCATGAACACCTAAGGACCCCACATGGCTTCTGCAGGCTCCTAGTCATCTCCAAAATCAGGACACACTCACACCATCTTTCTAGTACTTTGGCCCTCATCTGTGGTACAGATGTCGGAAGACCTACAAAGAAATGACTGAACTGAAGGGGCATGTGGGATTGGTTTTAATGACTGTAAAACAATTTGTATCACATTTTTCTATGAAAACCACTTATGACATAAGGGGCGACTTGGGTGAGGTGTTTTGACAATGTGGGAACTGTTGTGGTCTGTTCTGCAAATAGTGATACATTTACAAACATGTGCATTATCGCCATCTATGAGGATTTCATCAGGTTGTTCACAGAGTAAACTTGTCACAACCAACGTTTACTTTACTTACAATATCAGATTTCTTGAAACAACTTGTTCTGATTGTCCAGTTAATCAAGTCTTTCATTAAAACACAGAGTGCTAAATGAAAATATGTTATAGACTTGTAAGTTTGAAAACAAATAGCCATAAGTGATCTAACTAAAGTGGCAATGATAGACAAACTGCTGTCCCATATTGGGGTGGTATTTGCAGAAAACCAAAATGATCAAAGTGTAAAATAGGACCAGGAAATGACTGAAGAAATGCAGACTGCAGGTACACAAAGATTGAGATTGACTGTTAAGACAACTATTGCAATAGAAACTATATAATGTGCAATTTGTAATTACATTTTTGAAGGCTCACTTGAACCATTTCATTATCCATGTTATTCTTCCATGTATGTATCCATGTATTTTCATTATAATTATTTTACAGTTCAGTTTTCTACAGGTGATTTGATAATTTTATTCAGGATTTGAATTTTCTCATTCAATCTTTTCATTCATGTCCCTGGGGGCTCCTTGTCCAATGTGTCTGCGTGTTATTGTCTCCTTATTTTTCCTACTCCTAATATTTTGACAATTTCACTATGTAATTGCTTATTACTGTTTGCATTGTATTCTTCATCAACATCTGTCATTGGATTATGGATAAAAAAAATTGTCTTCTTGGCTAATTCTGGCATACAGAAAACCTAGAGAAATGTTTAATGGTAATTAGTACACAGTGTTCCTAAAATTAAAATTAAAATTGTTCTTGTCAACATGCATTTGTTAAGAGTGTCTTCAATTTAGTTATGCCTTATTTCTATGGTCTGAATTGTTTCAATTTCAGTTGTTTCCACTAGAAAGTGTCTCAAACCACCACAAATCTAAATGTTCCATTGAAATAGCCAATCACATTTGTGTTTGGGTAACACACTTGGCTTCTTATAAGATGGTGACAAGCGAGGGTGGGGTGGCTGAGCGAGTCTGATGGAGGGACACGTGTGTCTTCTGTTTGTGATATGCGGTAAGTTTACATTCAGTTTTGAGTATTAGAACTGTGCAGTGAATCCAGGTTTAGTGAAGATCAAGGTTTAGTCATTTGTAATTATCAGTTTTAGGCTTGTGTCTTTTTAGAGGTCTACAGCCACCTTCACCTACATCTTTTGTCACTAAAATCTTGTTTGGAGCAGATTTCAGACTTTGGAGTAAGAACTATGACTTCTATGTATCAAATGTTTCTTGTGTTAAATAGTAATAATTAAAAGTATGTGTTGTGCTGTGTTCAGCAAATTAATGTTGAAATCTATTTTTAATTTTAATGTTTTAATAAGGCAAAAAAAAATAATTTTGACTAATCTTCCAGCCCTAATGTGTGTGCTTTAACTCTCTGTGTGACTGTCCTTCAGGAGCGGCTGTTCTTGGTCCGTGGGTTTCTGGGTCAGTTTTGGATGTGACAGTGAAACCTGGAGAGAACATCACTTTGTACTGTGACTGCACATGTTCTACTGGAGTCTACACAGTGTGGTACCGCAACTGTTCTGACCCAAACCATCCCCCAATGGTTCTGAAAACTAGAAAGAACTATGGGTCAAACTGGAAGGATCCACTGCCTCAGTTTGAGTTTGTGAAGGACTCCAAATCTAACTGCTTTAACCTGCACATCAGTAAAATCACAGAAAATGATGGAGGCTCATACTATTGTGGAACTGAGACCACTAAAGTTTTGGACAAAAATGAAACCGGTGTAACACCTGAAATTGTGTACACCTATGGACATACCATAACAAGAATAGTATTTAGTAAGTATGTGCAATATTAATTTATATTTTAAAGAAAGAACTTAATAGTGAAATATTCCAAGCATAAAAATATTTTCAGAAAAATGGCTTGTTTACATGACTTAATATTCAAATTAAAATACAGTACGTACTACCCACACTAACTTATTTCAGTATTCCATAATAACATATCTCCTTTAAATAGTTATATATAGTACTGAATATAGTTTTTGCCTAATCCAGAGTCCAGTGAACCTATGAAGTCTGAGGAGTGTGGAGTGTGCTGGATTCTGCTGTTTTCTCTCTGTGTCCAGCCCTGACCCTTCTGTCCACTCTGCTGCTCGTGTTTGTGCTTTATTCAGAATGCTGTAAACAAGGTACATTAATACTACATAGTCTGAAATGCATATGAAGAAATGACTCAACCAAAAAGTATGATTTAAAGTTTATGTTTATTTATTAAATATGGAACAGTGCACATTGATCAACATGTCTTAGTACAGCATGTAAATGTGCCAGAGGTAGCCATGCTGGCTAATTTTCATCTGTAGTACCATTGGCAGGTTGATAGGATATAGGCACAATAACTTTCAGACCATCACACATGACAAAGATATTAAGATCTGTGAATATTACGGAATATTATTGAACTGTATGTAACTCTTTTAATGGGGGTGAAGCAAGATCATGGAGGGTCTTACAGAGCAGAATAATGTCTGAATAAATCATTACGTTTTCCCAATTTAAAAAATTATATTTGCTCAGTATTGTTGTTGATGTTTCCAGAGTTTACTTGTAGAGCCTTTTTATAGGCAGCTGTGTGGTTTTGTTTGCCTGGCTCCAGCTCATCAGACAGTAGTTTATATGAGACAGAATGGTGGCATTTACATACTATTTTTAAACAGCTGTAGTTAAATTTCTTCTAATGTGTTTAAAATTAATTTTGTTTCTCACATTTTGATATGCCTTTTAAATGATAATTGAGAGTCCATTGTGACTCTTGTATTACCACTTGTATGGCTGCCCATCTACCATAACTATTGGATCTCTCTCTCTCTCTCCGTTTACAGATTTCAAGAAAAACATACACATAGTTTTAGTCACATTGAGATGTAAACATTAGTTTTTTAACCAATCACAGACTGTCACCATTACAGATGACAGGTTTTCGGCAGCCTGCTTTGTTTTTGCATACACATACACTATGGCGTCATAAGCGTATAACTGACATGATGCTGTAAAACTCACATCAGGCAGATCATAATAACAGATAAATGATGTAAAAAGTAAGTAAAAAACACATCCAAGTTGTTATTAGTTAATTACAATAGTTAAGTACACTTCAATCTGTTATCATACAAATAACTTGTATGTATTTGAAGTGTTTTGTGAAAATGTTCTATATTTTGTAGACATGAAAAGAGCAGAACCCAGAGTTCAGATGAGCCAGAGCGAGGTAACGTGTACATTTTGACTTTGTTTGGTGTTATAAGTTTTAATACATGTGGTGAATGTCATTTTTAGGATGGAGATGTGTGTTACGCTGCTTTAGAAATCCGCCAAGCATCACAAAGACCAAAGAGAAAGAAAAAGACCCCCAACTCTGATTTCAGCACATATTCTGCCATCAAAACCTCTCAAGAATGAAATGCAAAGAATTACTGAAAAATAGATTTGTCATGTCTTGTTGATGTCTCAAACTGTATATTTCCTTGACATAACTTCATAACTTTACATTAGTTCATTTGAACCAACCTACATTTTTTGCATCTTTTTAACAAATGAATGTAAAACTTATTTGCCACTGCCCAGAAGTTGTGAACAATTGTTTCTAAAAGTGAGGCCATGCAGAGCTTCTTATTTGGATTCTTTATATCTGCTATTTGAACTAAACAATGTAGAGTTTGCTATCAGGGTATATTTTTTTAAACGGATAGTCATCCTGGATGTCAATTTAACCTTAAAATGTTTACTCATTCTGTAAAACTTTTTTTTTTTAATATTCATGTAACAAAAGCAATTGTACTATATTGTGCATCCGTATCAGCATGGGGAAGCAGCTGGTTGAGCATTTGAGCGCTCGTGCCTGTCCTGGACCCATGTTATATTTTACATCATGTCTTCTCCATTAAGGCACATTAGTTCCTGTTTTGTCACCTTGCTTTCTCTGTAACCTGATGTATGCATGTTATTTGAAAATTATGCTATGTTTTAAATACATTAGTAATTGTGTGGCTCATTTATAAAAACAAGGAGGCAAAATACTTGTCATTATAATTACATTCATTAAATGCTTTTGATGAATGTACTAATAGCATTAGCCTTAATAAAGGATAAAGACAGAGATCATTCATTATGAACTAACTTAGTTTAGTAGTTAGGGTATTAATTAAGTAGTTATTAATCCTGAGTCTTAATAAAAACTTGTTCTTCATAAATGAAGTCTTTTTTCATGCTTTATTAAAGCTAATTAAGTTTTAGTATAAGTTTAAGTATATAGAAACTATATAATGTGCAATTTGTAATTACATTTTTGAAGGCTCACTTGAACCATTTCATTATCCATGTTATTCTTCCATGTATGTATCCATGTATTTTCATTATAATTTATTTACAGTTCAGTTTTTTACAGGTGATTTGATACTTTTTTTTCAGAATTTGAATCTTCTCATTCAATCTTTTCATTCATGTCCCTGGGGGCTCCTTGTCCAATATGTCTGTCTGTTATTGTCTCCTTATTGTCTCCTTCTTCTAATATTTTGACTATTTCAATATGTAATTGCTTATTACTGTTTGCATTGTATTCTTCATCATCATCATCTGTCATTGGACTACGGATAAAAAATTTTCTTCTTGGCTAATTCTGGCATACAGAAAACCTAGAGAAATGTTTAATGGTAATTAATACACAGTGTTCCTAAAATTAAAATTAAAATAGTTCTTGTCAACATGCATTTGTTAAAAGTGTCATCATCTGAATTGTTTCAACTTCAGTTGTTTCCACTAGAAGGTGTCTCAAACCACCACAGGTCTAAATGTTCCATTCAGATAACCAATCACATTTGTGTTTGGGTAACACAAATAACCTGGCCGCAAGCGTGGCGTGGCTTTATCCGTAGACACTGATGGCCTGATGGAGGGGCATGTGTGTCTTCTGTTTGTGATATGCGGTAAGTTTACATTCAGTTTTGTGAGTATTAGAGCTGTGCAATGAATCCAGCTTTAGTGAAGATCAAGCTTTAGTCATTTGTAATTATCAGTTGTAGGCTTGAGTCTTTTTAGAGGTCGACAGCCACCTTCACCTACATTTTTTGTCACTAAAATCTTGTTTGGAGCAGATTTCAGATTTTGGAGAGAGACACATTTTTTTCTATTTTCAATGTACATTATGTTTCTTGTGTTAAATAGTAATAATTAAAAGTCTCTATTGTGTTACATTCAGGAAATTAATATTGAAAGTCATTTGTATCTGTTTTAATAAGGCAAAACATTTTTTTGTCCAATCCTCCAGCCCTAATGTGTGTGCTTTAACTCTCTGTGTGACTGTCTTTCAGGAGCGGCTGTTCTTGGTCCGTGGGTTTCTGGGTCAGTTTTGGATGTGACAGTGAAACCTGGACAGAACATCACTTTGTACTGTGACTGCACATGTTCTACTGGAGTCTACACAGTGTGGTACCGCAACTGTTCTGACCCAAACCATCCCCCAATGGTTCTGAAAACTAGGAAAGACAGTTTTGCCCTAAAAGATCAAAATTACATTTCAAACTGGAAGAATCCACTGCCTCGGTTTGAGTTTGTGAAGGACTCCAAATCTAACTGCTATAACCTTCACATCACTAATATCACAGAAAATGATGGAGGCTCATACTATTGTGGAACTGAGACCACTCAAGTTTTGGACACAAAGACAAATGGTATGAAATACACATTTGTGTATGCCAATGGAACTGTCACAAGAAGAATATTATTTAGTAAGTGAAATATTGAATATATTATAACTTAACTTAATATAAGTTAACAGTGAAATATTCAATCATCAAAATTTTCAGAAAAATTCCTGGTTGGTGTAATATTAAATGAATACACTATGTAATAATGTACAGACAGTAAATAATTATACCTTGTACCTCCTTTAAATAGTTATATAGTACTGAATATAGTTTTTGCCTAATCCAGAGTCCAGTGAATCTATGAAGTCTGAGGAGTGTGGGGTGTGCTGGATTCTGCTGTTTTCTCTGTGTCCAGCCCTGACCCTTCTGTCCACTCTGCTGCTTGTGTTTGTGCTTTATTCAGAATGCTGTAAACAAGGTACATTAATACTACATAGTTTGAAATGCATATAAATAAATTACTCAACCAAGTATACTTTAATGTAAAAAGTAATTTTAAAAAACACATCCAAATTGTTATTTACACTTCAATCTGATATCATACAAATAACTTTGTATTGTGTTTTGACGTGTTTTGTGAAAATGTTCTATATTTTGTAGCCATAAAAAGAGCAGAACCCAGAGTTCAGATGAGCCAGAGCGAGGTAACACTTGGACATTTTGACTCTGTTTGGTGTTATAAGTTTTAATACATTTGGTGAATGTCATTTCTAGGATGGAGATGTGTGTTACGCTGCTTTAGAAATCCGCCAAGCATCACAAAGACCAAAGAGAAAGAAAAAGACCCCCGACTCTGATTTCAGCACATATTCTGCCATTAAAACTTCTCAAGACTGAAAAGCAGAATAAAATACTGAAAAATAGTTGTGTCCAACTATATATTTTCTTCCACACTTTTTGGCATCTCTTTAACAAATGAATACAAAACTTGTTGGCCACTGCCCAGTATTTGTAAAGAGTTTTGTCTAAAAATTAGGCCGTGCAGAGCTTCTTATTTGGATTCTTTATATCTGCCATTTCAACTAAACAGTGTGGAGTTTGCTATCAACGTATATTTTTAAAATGTTCAGACTTAAAATCAGCTACCTTAAAAATGTTTACTCATTTTGTAAATGCTTTTCTATTATTCACATTCAGTATCCATGAAACAAAAGCAATTATATTATATTGTGCGTCCGTATCAGCATGGGGCAACAGCTCTTTGAGCATTTGAGCGCTCGTGCCTGTCCTGGACCCATATCATATTTTACATCATGTCTTCTCCATTGAGACACTTTAGTTATGTCACTGTTATGTCACCTTGCTTTATCTGTAACCTGATGTATGCATGTTCTACTTGAAAATTATGCTGTTTTAAATTAATATTTTGGTAAATATTACTCTTTATCATAATTGTTATTAATCCTGAATCATTCTTAATACCATTTATATTTTTTTCTCTTTGTTATTATGTTATATTGTGATATGGGAGCTACTGTGTCCAAATAATTTCTCTTGTGGATCAATAAATTTGTAAACTCTTTGTTCTTTATAAATTACACACAGGGTCATGATCAGACATCAGTGTAACATCACAGGAATCTGACACTAGAAAACAAATAAATAGAGGGTGAGTCGGGTTTCTTCACTTTTAAAACCAATGACAGCTGGTTGGCATGAGAATAATCAGATCTAAAATCTGAACTTGTAATCGATTTCAGTCTTAACTCTGAACACCTGCTTGTTGTAATTGCTGATGTTGATGTTCAAATTGTGTAAGAGTGTAAAGTTCTTGGTCTGATCATATCTAATGATCTACTAACGTTGTTGAGAAGACTTAGCAGCATCCTTCTTTTTGCAGAAAAGAATTCACAAGGAACTTGAAGATCCTGCTGTACTTTTGTTGTTGCACCATTAAAAGCTTTCTGGTTGGTTCTATCACTGTGCGGCTCTGACAGAAACATGTTTTGGAAGAAGTTATCGCTCCATCAAACACCATAGCTTCTTCCCACAAAGTTTTATAAACTTGAACAATGCACTTTGAACTTTGACTATCTACTCTGTGTTTTTAATTACAAATGCCACATAAACTATCCTAACCTAAATGAAGTAAACACTAGAATTGAAGAGGAGTCAACATACCACCAGTGTAAGACTTCTGAGGAGAATAATGGCAAAGTGGCAGGTTTCAGTTGAGTAAGACTTCCCCTTTCTCTGAAGATCTGTGGTTCAGGTTGGCCCCACAGTGGTGTACAAAGCCACAGCAGTTCAAATGTAATCATCTTTCTGGACAACTTTTGTGACAATTGAAAACACTAATCAGTTTGAAAAAGACAGTGAGAGTCAAGATAGTTTTTATCTCAATATGTTTTTTGTTAAATCTGAAAAATGCAGCTCAATTGTTCTATAATAATAATAGTATTATTATTATATTAAGGTATTCATTCATTTACAAATAAAAAGTCATGTTATTCACTCTGTAAAAAAATTGTGTCAAACACACCCACCCAACAATTCAGTGCTCCATTTGTTTGGCTAAGTCAGCATTTACATTTCCTTTAAAAGCAAAAACACTGCATTCAAGATTGTATGTGAGCTGATGTTTGTCTCAGCACAAACACATCGATGGAGATGATTATGATACTTTTGATATGTGGTAATCTTAAGTAATCTTGTGGCATTTAAAGAAAATGTATTTAACTTAATTTGTGCATCTTCTTTCAGGTATTGTGCAGCCCTTGGCCTGGGCATCTGTGGTTGAAGTGAGACCAGGACAAAACCTCACTTTGTTTTGTGATTGTTCATTAGAGCTTGGGACACTCATAGTTTGGTTTAGAAATGCTTCCCATGCCAACCAGACGTCGGTTTTGAAAGTGAAGAAATCCTACTCACCCGGTATGACTGAACTAATGAGTCCACAGCCTCGTTTCCATTTTGTGAAAAATCATTCATCAAAATCCTACGATCTGAAAATTACCAATGTCAGCGAATCAGATCAAGGCTTGTATTTTTGTGCAACTGAGACTCGCAAACTGCGGGAAATAAATAATGCAATATCTCCAACTGATGTGTTCACTTTCGGAAATGCCACAACAAGAGTACAACTTAGTGAGTACTATAATATTATTCACTCTATAATAAGAAGAAAATATGATATTCGTGTCTGTGTTTTTTAGAATCTGCTGTGACCACTGATATGAATATGTCAAAGCCTAACCCAAAGGACTGTGACATCTGCTGGACACTGCTGTACTCTTTGTGTCCAACTTTAGCTCTTCTGTCCTGTCTGATCACGTTGTGTGTGCGCTGCTACCAAAAGAGTAAATATATAATCTAATCATGTAGCAACAGTTTTTCATCATGCATGCAAGAATACTTATGTAGTTTTTGTTTATTTTGCAGACAAAAGGAGCACAGTTGACACTAAATTGAATGAAGAATCAAATGGTGAAATGGTAAAAGTTAGCTCTGAATACTTGAATACTTTGAATGTTCATGCAACTTCTTGTTCAACATACAGACTTGCATCTTTCAGTATAACATGTATGTATTTGCTACTTTGGTTTTGATAGGACATTTGTGGTCAGTCTATTTCCTTTTACCAAAACCTGTTGCTAAATAACAGGAAAGGGTCTCGTTTTCTAAGTAGGTCAACTATGCTGTTAGTGTTTTCTCCATTATTAACTTATATTGTTATTTCGTTCATACAAGCATTTAAACATTCATTCCATTCTACATCTCAATCAATATTTTGGGAAGATTTTATGTTACATCTTTATAACAAAAATTACCCTTGAGTGGCAGTTTTCCTCTGACTTCATACTTTTTACTCAAAGTGGAGCCATTTTTCTTCTTACACCTCTTTTGTAATTTGAAATTTCAGGATGAAGATGTCTGTTATGCTACTTTAGAAATCCATCAAACCTCACAAAGACCAAAGAAAACAGGCTCCAGTGCTGACTTCTGCACATACTCTGCTGTCAAGACTTCTAGAGCATGAAGTACTTTTATACTTAAAAAATCAAGAAGTATATTTATTGTTAAAGTTTGTTTGAATGTAGTTTTCTGCTATTTCACAGTATTCTGAAAGACAAAAATAGTATATGCACACACACATATATTTGTTACTCTACACAAAACAGCATATGTCAATAAATAATAAAATAATAAATCAGACTTATATGGCACTTTTTTGGACACTCAAAGACGAAGATAATAGTAATAGGAAATAAAATAAAGATAAGCGGAAGAAAATGGATGGATGGAAATAAAGTGTTTTCTAATGTTAACTTGATTGTATGTTAATGGACATAATGAGTTTACAGAGCAGACCGGGTGCTATTCTTAATGCACAGCAGGAGACCACCGAAGGAACACTTTCAAGAAAAAAGTAAGTTATAATATATTTCCATTGTTTCATGATCTAAACCTGTTTAACACGGTGCGAGGTTACCACAGCAACCACACAGAAGACCTTTGCATTGGACCAGCCAGTGCTCAGTTTCGTTTCTTTAGCAGCAGTAACACAAAGAGCTCCTCTGTTTGGTACCTCACGAGCCACAAGATGAATGCACTCCTTATATTTATGGGTAAATCAATCCAGTCATTCTTTTTATGATTGTTCTCTGTGCAATCTGAACATAACGATATAGTGATTTGATTCTGTGCAGGGTTGGTGTACACTGAGCATCTTGTGGTCTCTGGCTCAGTTGTGGATGTGAGGGTACAACTTGGAGAAGACGTCATGCTCTACTGTGATTGTACAACAGCAAGTGGGGTTCTGGTGATGTGGTATCGGAACTGCTCCCACATGTACCAGCCCACTTTGGTTCTGAAACTACGGACCAAGTATTTACATGATTTACGGAATGATCCTCTGAGCTGGATGATCCCTTTGCCTCGTTTTCAATTTGTGAAGAACGACTCATCCAATTCCTACGATCTGCTCATCAGTAATGTCACAGAGTCAGATGAGGGCTTGTACTACTGTGGAACTGAAACAGTCACACTTGAGGAAGATGGAACGAGTTATCTCCAGAAAAAGTACAAATATGGTTATGGGAATGTATCAACACAGCTAACTTTAAGTATGTGTTTTTTCCCCTTCAGTTTTAATTTATTCCATGAAATATAAAGGTGATGCATTACATTTAGAGATGTAATTTAATGCATTCACTAATTAGAAAGACAGTTGATAATGATTACTTTTTATTATTAACTATTTTCACATCACAACAAGCTGCAAGGTCAGCATGGCATTGGAAACCCTCTTTTGTTTCAAATTTACAGCAGTGTATTTTATTTATTAGAACATATATTTAGATGTACTTTTTTTAAGTTTCAGAATCCTCTGAAGTGTTAGTGTCCCATAAAACTCCACTGTCTCATCATGACCCTGTGTGGAGGGCAATACTGGTGCCAGGGGCTGTGGTCCTTTTCTGCAATGTGTGCTTCATTCTGCTGTATCATCTTTGTCAGAAACATGGTAAAACATTGTTATGTTCATCTGTTCTGTTCACCAACATTCTTAAACTTAAACCATATTATGTTTTTCAGATGCCAGACTTCATACCAGAGGACTTCAGGTATGTATTGAATTGACTAGAAACATATTGTCTTTACAGTATTAATTTTATTTCTCTGTGCTTTTAGGATAAGGATCTGTGTTTAACTACTGTGGTGTTTGGAGCCATGGAAAGGAAAATTCAGTAGCATCAGGCTGATAATTTATTGTCGTAAATTACAATAATAAACAAAGCTTTTTCACTGTTTACTCATGTACTTGATTGATTTAATTTATACAGAGATAAAAAGATATACAGCATCCAATATATATACCATTTAACAAGAAGAAGCTGTTGGACTGGTTGGTTTTGTAAAGTACAGTTTAACAACTGCAATAATTAATCTGCAAGAACCAAACCATTTTCAAGATCAAAACAAGTTTCAAAACAAGTTAAAATGCTCATGGTTCTGCATTTTGCTATAAAACTGTAAAAACTTGCTTTCACTTTAAACTTTCACTTTCACCATAAAGTTGCTAACACAAAGACAATAAAGAAAAAACACGCGAAAAAAAAAAGATAGACAGAAGCACATCCTGTTTTTGCATATTAAAATGTGTTAGTGGAAGTGCGTATGTGGTGAAGAGAAAGGTCAGGTTGAGCAGAAATATAAACCTTGTTTGGCCTATCTGAAACAAGCCTTACAGACACAGGAAAACCACCTATGCTTTTTTCTCAGCTCCCCACTTTAACCATGTCATATGACATGACATATTCATTATTATGTTTTTCACTATGTGAAGAGATTATTTGTTTCCAGCTATTTAAATAAAGACAATGAATTTATTAATTAACCACTGCATTTATATAGCACTTTTCAAGACACCATAAGCGCTTTACAGTACATTATTTATTTACACCACACTCTGTGTGGTAAGACAGTATTGTAGCCACAGTTGCTATGAAGCAGACTGATGAAAGCCAAGCTGCCCCTCTGACCACCAACACTCACGCACACACGCGCGCGCACACACACACACACACACATCACATTCATACTAGGCAATGTGGGTGAAGAGCCTTGCCTAAGGACATAACAAGTTTTGCAATAGATAGGCCTTTAGATAATTTACAATAATTTGCCATTGTTCAAATTATTCATTATTCAAACTGAATACTTTTTAACAACTGTTTATTGATTGTACAGACTACAGCAAAGTTGCTGCTTTAATAAAAATGTCCAGCAGATGGCATCATTCATACATATAATGACAGGCTCACAGTGTCCAAAGATTGAATTTTATCAATCAAAAAGAAAGAAAGTATGTTCAAAAACAAGTTAACTGCCAAATGTGTAAACTTAATAGAAGTATATAGTGGAGATCAAGTACAGCCTACACGGGGAAAAGTATTAAGGATAAAATACAGTAGTGACAGCTTTTTCGTCTTAAATTTGGGTTAAATGTGAGCAAACAAATTCTTTGAATTGAACAAAGACATTCTGTGTCCAGACACTGAAGTCAAGAGAAACAGAAAATATCCACAGTGTAAAGTTACTGTTTGCAAAAGTATAGGCCACAACAAATCAATAAAAGAGAGGTAGCCTTTACACAACAAAAATAATGGAGTATAATTCCTTTTTTGTTTGTTTGTTTTACAAAAAAACAGTATTGCACTCTGAAATTCAGCTATAAAACTGCCTCTCAATAGTAATTTATCTATCCCTTATTACAAACAGAATTATCTAAGCGTGAATAAAATATTCTTACAAGTCAAATCTAAATAATTTCATTTTCAGTACAAATATAAAACTACATATTCTAAACTAAAAAGGCATTAAATAATACCAAAGACTTACGATGCTAAAATAGCTTAAGTATGAACTGTATCACATAACATAATAACCTTTTCAAATATACAACTGTTGTCTTTCAACAATATTATATGATGTTATATTTGTATTAAATGATTGGATTAAGGAGAGAGTTTAAGCAATGTGGCAGTCTCAAAGCCCTAGTGTAGGCTACAGTAAAGGCACTCATCTGATGCAGCTCACAGTCCAGTGATGTAAAGGGGATAGCAGCATTTGAAACTCAAAAGTACATGCTTGTATTAAGTAAATTGTGGTTAACCCACATGATTGTCTAAGACAATAAATCAAGTAAATATTAAATTAAATAAAGAGCCAAAATTTACAAAACTACAGTCAACATAGTAAACATGGTACTTTTCTCAAAACACTAAATAACCACAATGGGCATGGGTCAGAGCTTATGCAGACCACTCTGAGACTTCTCTGGACTAGACTCGCGTTTCTTTTTAAAGAGATTTTTGAGCTTTAAGGACTTCTTGCCCTTGTCTTTGTCCCTGTTCTTCTCCTCAGCTGTCTCCTGGACTACTTCAGTAGCTGCATGTAAAGCCTGTGTGGCCAGGTGGGCTGTGGACTCCTCCCCGGGCACACCAGTCTGCTGCAGGTTGGGAGTGGAGGCAGAGAGACCAGTCGCAGTGGTGCCCATAGAATGGCAGGACTTCTCTAAAATCCCATCGTAGACCAGCTGGCTCAATGGACCAACACTGAAAATGTCAGCGGAGGACTTCCATGGCACCTGGGATGTTGCTGTTATATCTGGTTGACTGATTCTTCCTGAGAATGTGCTTGCTTCTTCCAAGTCTTCCCTCATTAGAAGATGCTCAGGTATTTCATCAACTCTATCAGCTGAGATTTTACTAGTAGGAGTATCCATAGAACTGTCAACCATCCTCTGTATTCTTCTCCTTAGAGACGGGGCAGACATGTCAGGGTCCTCCCTAACTATTCTTCGACTGACTGGCTCATAAGCATACTCCTGACGCTCAGCTGTAAAACAGGTATCCACTGGTATCTCTCTAGGGATCATCCGAATGGAGCCAATATCAGAAGGATACTCTAGTTCCTCTCTGGACACCTTTCGAGCCGGGTTACGATGCATCTCAATCATTTTGTCCAGGCCAACTTTCTTAGCATCTAAATCTCCTTTTGTCCATGAGATTTTCCTTGAACCTGTATCAAAGGACATCCCCACTGGGTCTCTGCCAATTCTTTTGGGCAGTGATTCATAGGAGTACTCTGCTTCATCTCGAAACAGCTTTCTCGGAACACTGTCAATTGATGTCCCCATCATACCTCTTGTTAGCTTACGTGGAGCCAAGTCAGAAGCTTCCACTTCAGACCAGATAATCTTCCTAACATCTCGTGGATACTCACTTCTTTCTCTTGACAGAGAGTCTGACAAATCACCTAGTGTATCTTGCTCAGGTCTTCTACAGGCAAAATCAGAATCAAACTCAGTAAGAAAGGTTTTTTTGACTGCAGCATCAATAGGAGTTTCACCCATATCCTGAAACATCTTCAGTGGATGTTCTTCTCTAGATGCCCTCAAGGACTGGTTCTCAAGAGAGGAATCTAGGTCTTTGTCCTGGATCATCCTTCTGGTGGCTGAATCCACAATGGTCTCTAGTTCCTCAATAGAAACTTTGTGAACTGGTGACTCTATCGGCTCATCTGGATCTCTGACTTTGGTCAGAGACACATCTGCTGGCATCTCTGGTTCATCTGGGTAAGGTTTTCGAAGAGGCATTTCAAGAGGAGAACTGGGATACATTTTGCCAACTGAAAGTGATGTCATGAAACCTTGGTCAGCATACTTTTCCTGGGAATCTCTGAAAGTAATAAAGAGAGGAAGGTTATTAAAATTGTCATCAAAGATGTTAACTTTTGACTTCTTTGACTGTCACTGAATTTACACAAGTTATACTTGCACTTACTTAAAACAATGATTTATTTTCTTTTTTCTCTACTTCTTAACTATTATGTAAGTGTAGGTTAGTAGCAATCACAAGCAAAAGTGGACAGTGTGAAACAGGGAGGATATCAGCAATGCTTTTCCATTCAATTTCAATTCACAATATAAAATGTTTTGTATGTAACCTACTTATACACCATATGTATATATGCACATCTACAGCCATGTTCAATCATTCAAATTATTAATTATGTTGAATATGCAAGAATACACACATCCTTACACACATGTATATTGTATACACATTATAAATATGCACATGTAAATAATATACACATCCATACACACACATACTCATGTACAGATATATATGAGATCAATATTGCCACCATAAGAAGCTGTGCAAATTTCTAGAATGGGTTCCATGCTCTTTTAGCAAATGTTGACTTACTGCTTTATCAGAGTTTTGCGCAGGAGTACTTCCTCCTCCTCAAAGCATGGGTACGGGGCACGTATAGGAATGAGGAGGTCAGGGTCTGGGGAGATCATGGACACTGGAGGTTGTGTGACAACACCAGAGCGGCGTGTCCTGGACACTCGAGAGGGATGAGTTTGGGGTGAGCACTTCATAGGTGGCACTGGAAATAAAAACATATTCAAACAACCAAACTCCACTCCTGTACAGTCAGTGAGAAGTAGTCAGTGCTTACCTGGCATCTGCTGTATCATAGGTGTCTCCTCCAGAAGATCCTCAATAGATCCATGGGCTGCACTGTGGTACAAGCATCCGGACTGGGAAACTCGTGGCAGACCAAAGGTGGTTGGGTCAGAGTAAAGCTGAGCAGTCAGGTTTGCCAGACCTGGATTCCTCATGATTGGAAAGCCACACAGTCGCTCAATCTGCTGCCAGCGATGAAGACGCTCTCGTAAGCAGGCCGTAACTTCAGATAAAGCATTTCTATGGACAAGATAACCAAAAATAGTTCATTATGACAGATACATGCTTTGTTAGGGGTAGATTGGTAGATTGCATTACTTACTTTGCCTCAAGAATCTTTTGGTCAACTTGATCCAGAGATGAACTGTGTGCCACATGAAGAGTCCCCAGCACAGAGCTTCGTTTCTTCTTAATTCTTTCTGCCTGACAAATTCAAATGATTACACTTATGTATTTGTGTGTTTCTTACAGAATGAGCCTTTGTAAGGAAACAGCCATACTTCTTCTTTGGCTGTTCCAAGCTGAAGTTCAGCACTGTGCTTTTTGACATTGTAGTACTGGACCTCCACTTCATGTGTGAGCTGCAGCCATTGCTGGAGAGCCTCAGAGACCGTCCAGCTTGCCTGCATGTCCTTCTCAGCCTGCTTTAGCACCTCACGCACCTTTTCAAAAGAAATGCAAAAACAAGTTACTATATTACCAAATACTATGCAATTGACAACTCAAGGTGTTCTGTAAAAAAAATTTCCTTTCATCAAAACAGAAATATAGAACAAAAAAGTCAAATGAGATTTTCAGTTGATTTTTCTGTTAATTCAGCACCCTCTTATTTAATTAATTAGTAACTCTTTAGAGTTAGGAGGGTCAGATATCACCTACCAGAATTGTGTGTGAACAGTAGCAGTATTTGGGCGGCAGTAGTTCAGTTGGTAGAGCATTCGCCCACTGATCTGAAGGTTGGCGGTTCGAATCCAGCTCTCAACATAAACATCTCAGGTTGAGCAGTCAGATCCACTGACCCACAGGTTGGCTGGTGTGATTCCAGCTCCCACAGATGAATGCTGTCGTTGTGTTCTTGGGCAAGACACTTAACCCGCCTTGCCCACAGTGTCTGCGTACACTGGTGTGTGAATGGGTGTGTGAATGGGTGAGTGGTTCCTTGTTGTAAAGCGCTTTGAAGCGCTATAGAAAAATGTGACCATTTACCATTTGTGTACTGCTCAAAAGTAACACAATTAATCCAAATAGTATTAAATCAGTAGAAGTCAATATACCCAATATTGATCTGGTAGTTTCTTTTAAAGTGATAAAGTCAACATCCATAAAGAAGATTTTTTTATTTTTTCACTTGAACTGTATACTATTCTTATTTTGGTCCATATACTTAATAAGTACATGTGCATGTTGCTCTGACCTGCTCCAGTTCTTCCTCAGCATATCTCAGGCGACTGAGTTCGCTGACTGCTCCTCGTCGGAGCTCATGCAGACGGTGGGCCTCCTCCTGTGCCCCCATGATCTCATCTCTCATCTTCTCCTCCAGACTCTGCTTCTCCTCTGCTACACTGCGCTTCTCCTCTTGGGCACGCTCCAGCCTGCTCACGTAACAACTCGTTCAGTTCAACAAGTGTGGACACCAATCAACAATGAAGATTACTGGGTTTTACTAACTGTTCCTGCAACTCCATGAGGCTCTGCTCCGCACTCTGGAGGCTCTCTAGATCCTTCATCATCTTGGCAATGTGGATCTTGCTTGCTTTGTTCTGGGCTTGGGCAAACCAGCAACCTCCAATTCCCATGACCACGGATACAATAAGCAGCAGGTCTTTCATGTAGTTATGAGGTCCTGCAATGAGATAGTTTTGATTAATACAGTTAAATGACTTTTTACTTATGACTATACACCAGTCAAAAGTCACCTATGGTGGTTAAAGTAATTTAGCATTTAACACACTACCCACATAGATCAATGACTATGATATTATGGCTGATGGGTGCAAGTATTTTACAATTAAAAATAAAGAATAGATGAGGTAGTGTGCTGTGAAAGGATCTGGTGGTATAGCATTTGCCTGTACAACCCCATCTGACTGTTATATGTGTCCAATAAAGCCTACACATGGACATTAAGAATATATGTAGTGTCATCGACTCTTACTTGTTGGTGGTCCAAAGAGCACCACATCAAGCGCTTTAATGTTGAGCTTCTGCTTGTCCCTCTGGTCCTGGACTTTGAGCTGTCCACTCAAGAAGGATGGCTCATTTGCTGCAATCCTGTATATTGTGTTGGAAAACAGAACAGATTTATACTTTGATAGTTTGATAGTTGAAACTTGTTATTCTGCTAATGGACATCTAGAGCATCAGAAGTGGCAGAGTTTATTTCATTAACTGTTCATACCGTGGGAGTGTATTTCCAGTTACTTTAAACTCTTTAAAGTTCTTTTCATACTGTGGTAGTTCCACAAAATCTTTCAGCCAGCGGAGCACTTCTTCTTGAGTCCAGTTATGAACTGAAAAGTCATATGGATATTGAGAGAAAACATTGCTTTATTTGTACACTTATGTTACAAACACTGCCACACACCTTGGGAAGATTTCCAGCCTCTCCACAGTTCTTCTACTGTGATGTGCTGGTCTTCTCTGTGCAGGTTACTGTGTTTGTTGGTCTGCTGCTGTTTCATGTCCTCAATGATGAACTTTCAAAACACGAGACAAACTCATTAGTTTAGTCGTTTGGAAGCAACAATTATAAAACGGTTGTGATATATGGAAACATGGCACCATAGTGAACATACCAAGTCTGAAATACTGATGAAACGATGGAATGTTTTGAAACCGTATGCACAAAAACAAGACGTGCAACTGAAGGATATTGGGTTACACTGCAATTTTCCAACACATGCTGTTTACTGTTTGAGTAATACAGTTTAGGAGGATTAGGCTGTAAGCATTTATATATTTATCATTTACAGTATTGTGAAGAATGCTAAGAAATGTATTTAATTACAGAAAACTGAATGCCCACATTAAAATGTATTTTGTACATTTTCTGATACATGGCTCAGAGTACAGTATTACAAATACTTAAAATACTTTTACATTGAGTTGCATTATATTTTAGTGTAAAGAACTGACAGATAAAACAGATTTATGTTTATTGTATCTGGCCCTAACCCAGAGAAGGAAAAATCGCACATACAGGCACTGAAAGAACAGTGTTTGCTAAAAATGTTGTCTGATGCCTAAACTGTGTAGTCATGTCCTGCAATGTGTTCCTTTGGTTTTAGGAAAGTAGATTGAATATCACCAAATGAAAGAGTAGCTGTATCATTACTCATAATTAGTACTCTGAATATGTATTTTCAGTACTCATATTTTTTACTTCCTAACACTATTTATTTGAATGTAAAATACCTTAGAATGACTTGGACTTATGCAGTTCTATCTAGTTCTACTGGTGTTGATGTGTGGTGAGTGTTTGAGTGAGAGTGTCTTGGAATCTGTCCTTGGCTGTAAACTGTGGCCTCATTTGATGCTTGAGGATTTTTAGACCATGTGGGATGAGTTGAGACCCCTCCCCTGATGTCTCTATAGTAACGGCAACCTGAGCCCCTGGATACAGTGTCCCAGTCCTGCATTCTCCAAACGCTAAGGCGCACTGCTCCTCTGCTTTGCTCACTATGGAACATACTGTATGGCTACAAGTACATCACAGATAAATGAACTGATGAATTAACATAGTAAATTAAAGGTTTCCTATATAACTTCTCAGATGTAGGGTCAATCACTTGTTCATCATGATGGAGATGTTACTGCTTTGCCTGCAATCCCACAGTATGGCATTAAATATATATATATATATAAATATTTCCATAGAGATATATATGTCACATCTGTAAAGAGGTAATCCAGCCTATACATGAAAACATCTTTTTCAGGGTGTTTTTAGGAGCAAAAAGCCCTGTACTTACAAAAAGATAAAAGACAAGTTAAATGTCCTATTGAGATTTGTTTTTGTGTTTATAATTTGTCTAATTTTGCATAATGTATATAGATTTTGGGCTGATGTGATCTATGGTTTTAGAAAAGCTTATTGGTATGAGTACTCTCTTTCACTCATTCAATTTTCATTTGCTTTTACACCTGTTACTTTGAATCTTGAAGCATTGAGAACCATTCAATATAATCATTAAATGGAAGTTTTATGAACTATATTGTAAAAGCAGTGTGTACGGCAAATATTCATAAATTATATATACTCTCAAAGCTGTGTCAAAGATTCATCCATTGAATTTGGTCCTTGATACCTTTCATATGAGGGCACAAGCTGTTCTCAAACCTGTGATAAATCCTTAGTAGAAATTCTGTACCTCGACACTCTCCTCCACCTCAATGCCTCCGTCCTGGTCATCGTCCATCATCTGATGGATGTTCCTCAGAGCCTCGAGACTGTAGCGGTCCGCTTCACTCATACATGGAGGAGTCACCACCAGGCAGGGGTCTACAAAAAATGGAAATGTTCATTGAAATAAATAATGGCTGCATATTTTTCCTGACACTTCACGTTACACAAGCATTAGAGTGGATATTAGGCAGACAAAGGCCTGTGTGTTTACAAACAAACACGGGTTACACACCAGCCACAGACACTGTTGGCAAGGTGGTTAATACTCTTTAAATTCACAATAAATAAATAAATAAATAGATAAATAAATAAATAAATAGTGAAGCGTTCTTTTGATGTTTCTCTTTCAAGTAGGTTTCAGTGGCAGAAGCAGACTTATGGAATGAGCAGTAAACTGCTATTTTAGACTTATGTTTGTATTACCAGCAGCAGGAATATGCAGGGAAGATGTCATGTAGCTTACCGTCATTTACCACTGAGTGACTCAGGAGCCACTTGTGGTAGCGTGACGCAGTGAGTTCTGGTGCTTTGACTGGTTCAAACGACTAAGGGTCAAAGGTGGGCCAGCTGAAGCCACTTTGAAAAGCAGCTCCAATAACACTGGTCAATTACACTTCACAATGTAAAGAATGGGGCTGCCATTTGGGACTACAGTCAAAATAGTTTAAAGGCAAGCTGTAGCCTACTAATGAAGAAAATCACTCACCACTCTCCAAATGACTTCATTAAAACACTCATGCTCTTACGGATAGCGCATAGGCTGCTACAGTACGCAGCAAGTGTTTTGAGTTTGATGTAGAAAAACTGAAATACACATTGGTACAGTAGCACTTACAATACGAGTACAGAGTACAGAGCACTTACAATACTATTTCTGTACAGGCACTCTATTGGCTGATATATAAAATGTTAGTTTGTTTATCCGTTTCTACATAGATGGAGCGTGCAATATGCAAAAAATGAAAGATCCCAATTTGTATCTGCAAATATAATTTAGGCTCGACCTACTAGTAATTGAAAATCTAATTCAGTCAATACCTGTTGGGTCGAAGGAAGCATGGGGAAGGCTGAAGGCGTGCAGATCTCCAGCGCTTTGGGCCGCAGCAAAAAGTGCCGCTGGAAACACCAGCACCAAAAAGTAAGAGAGAAGCAGCATTCTGGTAAACAACAACACTATCCACGGGATAAGTGTCCTTGAAGCATTGAAAAGTGTCCGTAGGTGCAACACGCGTTTGGGTGGCACAAGTATCTCTTTGCGCAAAGTGTGAAGCGATCCGTGTTTCTATTACGGGTGCAGGCTGGAGTGGAGACGTGACGCCGATGATTCAGTTGAGAAATCCCTTTTACCGGTTAGCTTTTACGTTCGTATAGGTAAAATATGTGTAAACAGATTAGTCAGATCACATTGGTATGCGTTTGAGTAATCCACACATCGTATTAAAAAATACCGGTCCGTGCGTAAAAGTTATCCAAAAGCATTGGCCTATCCAAACGTCTTAGAATAGTATTTATCTTCCTAGTCACTGTTGTTCGTCTATTCCCCGTGTGTTCTCAGTAGTTGTTGTTTAAGAAACTAGAAAGGCAAGTTGGCGTTTTCTTTACTCTACTCTGTTTTCTCTTCTGTCACCTCTTTGCCAAAGCAGCGTGGATTTTCAGATGTGACGTTCTTGCGCACAGTTGGCCTCCCCCCTCTCAGACCCTCTCTAACAAATGGTCACCAAACCACTTTTCCCCAAATGTGAATATTACTGCCCAACCTGACTACCAATTATTCTTAATATTTAGAGCATACACTTGGCAGTAGTCTCCAACTGATATTTTCACCTCGCAGTGGTTTTTGTGTGTTGATTTAACACTGAGTCGTTATTTTGACCCAGTGTAAATAAAAACATAGTTGGGTCCTGCGTTATTTGTGCCCTTTTTAATAGACCTGTGAATATAACCTACTGACAATCAAACTCCCCCATCATAATACATAAAATTACAAAAAAAAAATCGCCTTCCAAGTAGGGATGTAACGATATCCAAATCTCTCAGTACGATATTGTCACAATATGCATCTAAAGGTACGATATTTATTGCGATATTTTTGAGAGGCTGATGTAATTGTAGATAGGACACTTTTTTGCTTTTAAAATACCCTGACAAGAATTTGGTGTGAATTATTACTGCCATAATCCCAAGAATTCAAATAAAAAGCATATTACTTCTTCTCGTCTGCGCTGAAATGAATCATGGGTTCCCAGTTCCCAATGTTTATTAGTTACTGCAGCTGCAAAACAATGTATTCAGTGTTGGGAAGGTTACTTTTAAAATGTATTCCCCTATAGATTACAGATTACATACCCCAAAATGTAGTTTGTAATGTAATCCATTAAATTACTTAAAGTGAGTAACGTAATCTGAATACTTTGGATTACTTGATTTGCTGTAGAGAAGCAAAGACGAGGAGGAAATCTTCACATAAGATGTTTTGTCTGATAAAAGAAAATAAAAAGCCCAGACTTTATTTAACTAAATTAAAAACAGTATTGATAGAAGAAGTTTAGTCTTGTTAAATCCTGTTTGAGACATGGTTTAGACCTGGTTTAGTCCTGCTTTTAGACCTGGTTTAGTCCTGCTTTTAGACCTGGTTTAGACCTGGTTTAGACCTGGTTTTAGACCTGGTTTAAACCTAGTTTAGACCTGGTTTAGTTTCCGGCAATGAGTGGAATTATGGAGAAAAAAAAAAGAAAGAAAGAAAAAGAAAAAAGGGATATAGTCCAAAATGTGAAAACAGGAAAATACCTCTGTGTAATCCATTTATTTTAACAAAGTAACTGTAATCCAATTACTACTCACTGAAACAGTAACTGTAACTGAACACAGTTACTCATAATTTGTACTCTGATTATGTAACTCTGGTACATGTAATCTGTTACTCCCCAACACTGAATGTATTTAAGCAAAGGAACTTGTGATTCGATATACTGTTATGCCCCACAGTATTACTGTGAAATCTTTGACAATACAATATCACGATATTTCAGTTATTGTTACATCCCTACTTCCAAGTCCAAAAGGAACAGAACCACATCAGATTAGACTGAAAACTGTCTTAAACTTGTAATAATTATGTACCTTCCACCAGCTGCTGATGCCCAGTTCTGATCTCTAGTTATTGCTTTGCCTGAAATGTTCCAGAGTGGTATTAAACATTTGAATTACAGATGTTTTATTGCTTGAAAAATAACTTTTAAAACAAGCATTACTGTGAGTGGAGTTGGCTTTCCACAGATCTGACCTTTCACTTGGCCTGGTGGCACGTGACAAGGACATGGGGATAGAATGGTTTAATGCCATATGTGGAACAGCAAATCAATAACACCTGCATGGAGATGCAGGTGGCAGACCCTTCACTTGCACATAAACAGAACTGCCAGGGTCTGCCACCTGCACGTAAGATGAGTCTGTCTTACATGCACCTTAACAGACTGAAATATGGGTGAAACTGGGTGTCAACCAGTCCAAAAGAAGGAAAAGCCTCAAATAAAGCCAGACTAAATCATGAAAATTGTATCATGTAATTGATAAATACAGACAGAATCACCAGAAGGAGCCTGCATTCCACAGTTTGAGAACCAGTGTTTATAGATCTTAAAATGGTGATTCTAATCGTGTACTGCCGTTTGACATTTCTTGGACATCCCTTTGGAAATTTGATTAGACAGACAAAGCCAGCGGTCACGATGCACTATAATTATTGGTTGAAACTTTAAGAGACTTGAGAGACACCAACACACCATGCCACAAGCACAGATAGACAGCATTAGAGTCAGGTTTCATTGCAGCAATACAAGTCCCTGTTTAAAAATAGTTGGGGGTAGCTTTGACCTCTACCCTGTTGAACATGCTTGGGCAGCAACTGACCAAGTGCTTGAACACATCTAATACACCCTTAATATAATTTAATAATGCTCTATGATAAAACATTACAATTTAATACACAGTATCAGCCTCAATATTGGTTGTTCTACAACTACAGATTTTTTGTAAAACCAATGACACAGACTTTAACTAAAAAGAGCAATATCTGACCGGTATTAGAGAAACTGATTGTGGTATGAGTTTTTTGACATAAAGCAATGTAATTAGCATAGCAGTGTAATTTATAAAACTGAAATTGTTAGACCATTTTAGACAATTATTCAACCTGCTAGTTATGCTATTGAGTAATATGCAGAATTCTATTTGGTAACAAAAGATAACTATATTACAAAAATATCAAAAATGTACCTCCATAAATGCTTATAAAATATAATATGTATATAAAATAATATAACAATATTCCTTGGTCAGTGAAATGTTCCCTTGCAGGCTCTTGACCTCAATGGAAAGAAAGCAAAAGCCTAATAACAGCTTTAAAAACAAAGACATGTGACATTGTTAAAAGACGTTTTTAAGTTTGGTTTTTCAATTTAATCCATGTCCTGGTGACTTGTCCATACCAATCCACAAGAGGGAGCTAGTGGGCAAGTCTTGTCCAAGCAGCTTTCAATAAAGCACGTTTTGATCATTTCTCTTTGAGATAGAGTTACTTGTGTGCTGTTTGTGCAGGTCCATGGGCCTCTTTGGGAAATTACTTCACACAAAAAATACATTTACTATGAAGATAGTGACATGCTTGAGCCTCCAGATGATAGGCCTGAGTCACTGCCACTGTAAGCCCCTTGACTTTCCCCCAGACCACCCAGGGAGGAGGAAGGCGAGGAAGAGGAGGCAGGTGATGATGAAGAAGTGCTTTGAGAGCGTATGATGGCTCCAGCAGCACTGCAGTGAGGCCGTGGGCCTGGCTCAGGGGTGTAAGTGAAGGTGAGGGCAGTGGAGTAGATTATTCCATCATTCCGGACCAGAGTGACAGGGACCTGCACTGGCTGTCGCACCCATCGCCAACCCTCCCTGAAGGCTGAGATGTCTGGGACCACACACAGCACACTTTCACCACACCTGAGAAGACACACAGTGATTTAATGTCATTTGATACAGGCAAATAAAAAAAAACTACATTTATATTCTTATACAATTATATACAGTCATATATCAACCATTCTTTTTTTGACTTTCCAAACATGGTGTGACATGGTTTCAGATAAACCTGAACTAACCCTCTTTGCCTTCTATTCCCAATGTCTGATACTGCAATATTCAAAAGTACTACTGTCAGTAAGAATGAAAGTAGTGATAATTATTGTTTTACCTATACATGGTATCAGCCTCCACATCTCCAAACCAGACTCTGAGGTTAGGGGTAAAATTCTGTCCTGTCAGCTCCAACATCGCCACATCCCCACCACCATTCAACTACAAAAAATACAATAGGTTATACATTAACAAGTTGATAAATATATTTACCAGACCTCTTATGCAAGCCATAGCAGTTTAAGTCACCCTCTGTCCACATGCTATGAGATCAATCCCAATCAATTACCAATCCTTTATCAAATACATATTAAACTCTTCAATAACATTTGCCAATAAAAATTATATGTTTAATAATATTTAATTTGTATTCAAATATCATTTGCAATAATGTTTTATATGGATCTTAATATTATCTTTAATTACTGCCTTTGTAAAAAAATAAAAAGTAAGCAAGTAACGTTTTAGCCAAAAACAAGTTTGTTTAATTGTACTGAAAAACATGCTTCCTTGTATCTCCACAAATCTGACTCTTATTTGGTCTAGAGGAGGGCCTCCTCCTGCTTGTTTACATGGAAATGTTCCTTTGCCAATAATATTACAAAGCATAAAACCTATCCATCTCCACAAAGAATGTTCTGAAGCAGTTTTAAAGACTTTTTCAAAATACCACCTTTATAGTAATTGTGACTGATGTTACTGTACCTGTAGACTCTCCACCACAGGGACAGGTGTGACTGGATTTGGAACAGGACCCATGCCTTCAAAGAAAGTGTACTCTGCTTTGTCTGTGCTAATGATGGTCCAAGAAGCCCCATCGTTAATGACCTCTTTGTTAGCTTCTTTGGAACACGGTGACGCCTGGAGAAAAATATGAAGATATGAGAAAATAAGAAGCAACCAATAAGTGTTTGCTCAGAAACAGTTGATGCACACCTGAAATTGAATGATCCGTTCTTGTGAGAGGCAAAGATACATCCTGTCTGTGTCTTTGAGGTAGAAAGCACACTTGTGGAGCTGAGAAACTGGGTCATCTGCATCTAATAATGCATTCTGCTTGTCCACTTTCCGTATGATCTACAAAATTACAACACGAAACATATTTGTCTAAAAATGAAAAAGCAGCAGTTACAAATGTGTCATAAAGGTTCACTGTACATACCAGTCTAGGGAGAGCCATGCCAGTGACAGAACAGACCAGTTTGACCGTTTGTCCATAGTGAATATAGCCATCTCTCACTGCAAACTCCTCCCCTTCAGACTCTTCATCGTCCACTGTCATAAAAGTTGGAAAATATTAGTTTGTAGCACTTGCAGTGGCAGTATAGTGGAGTTTAGATATCCTACAGAGGTGAATGAAGAAGGCCCCCCACTGCTGTGAACTGGCATGGAAGTTTCCCCCATCCACATGAAGATATCTGGTGCTGACTGTCTGAGAACGTAAGCGATTAAACAGAGCCACCTTTGTCCCTGAAGCTATGCACACTGCAAACATGACAGAAGAGATTTAGAAGCAAGATACAATATACAATACACAATACATACTAAATGTTATGGGCTGAATTGAGTGTTTAACATACAGTCTGCGTTTTTAAGAGATTGTTTCTTTTTGGATGGTTTGGAGATGACCTTTATCCTCTTGCTCAGGAAGACGCCAATGTTGGCGCTGTTTCCGTACAACATCTTCACAGAAAGCATGAAGTGTTTACGTTTATCTGAGTCACTGATATACAGTGTTTTTGCAGTGCAGAAGTGCTGAAATAAAAAAGGGTTGATTGATATTTTCATCTGGTAACAGAAATGTCACAATGACAAAGTCTTTAGACATAAATGACAAACCTTTCCCTCCAGATTAAGTTGTTGCATTTCCTGTTCGCTGTTCCCTATTCCAATGAAGGCACAAGGTTGAGCCTCCAGCTCCGTGCAGCCTTCTCTTTCCATTTTTTCCTGCTTCTTCTGCCAGCCACTGCCCAACAGATATACACATGGTGGTGGGCAAAAAAACCTGGGACAAATCCAAATGTTTATGTAAGAAATACAATTTCCTGGAACAATTTGACAAGTAGCTAATCAATCAGCACTTACCGTTTCTCATTACCATAAGACTTTTGGGCTACTTTTGCATGCAGAATTAGCACAGTTTGGTCATCTTTTTCTTTCAAATAATTTCTCATAGCCTCCCTAAGACATAACACAACAAATTTAGCACAAACGCAAATGCCAGTGATCTTCAGCATGGCCTGTGCTCCCTAAAGTGTACAGTATGGTAAGTACGTGTGTCCCCTGGTTTACCTTGTCAATCGTTGAGGCTGCGGTCTCTCACCAAACTTCCTGCAAAACAAAAAACATAAAAGGTTCAAGATAAACTTATGTAGAAGACTGATTTACATTAAATGTCTTGTTGTTGGCTTTATGATTATACTCAATGATTTCACAAAGCAATGCATAATCTGTTTTGAAATTCCTTGTCTTAAATCTCAGCAATACTGTTCTGAATTATTAATGAATAAAGGGGAACACATATCTTTAAAACGAGGTTAGTCTTCTTTGCCTGCACTGTGGTCTGTGTATAATGTAGCAAAGTATACAATATACAGAGAAACTATAGAGTTAACAACATTGAGCTTCATTTAGAGACAGTCAATGGCAAAGAAAGCAAACGTTGGAAAAATAAAGCTTTTGATCAAGTGACCGCACACACATCTAGACAGTCCGATTCTCTCTTTACTACCACTACCATCCGGAATCCTCGGTCAACTGGGGGTCCTCTTAACCACGCTGTAGCAGACAAACAAACCAACTTTTTGATAAAAAAAAAAAAAAGTTTAACTCTTCTTTACTTTTGCACTTACCCCGTAACAACGGGCGCCATCTTCCAAATAACTCTCCCCCCGAAAAGTTCAACAATCGCGAGATCCCTCCCCACCCCCCTGCGCCAAAGCCCAGCGGCACAACGGAGAAAGGAGCAGGCTGCAGACTGAAGGCAAAAGCAAAAGGGGAGAAGGGAGAGAGGGGGAGGTGTGGCGGGGCACAGGGGTGAAGAAGGGGGAGGGACGACGGGCAGAGGGCAGACGCCAAAACAACAGGCGTGGGAAAGTTACAAAGCCACGCGAGAATTAAAAAACTCTCACAATAGACATGAATTATCCGCGGCGCAGGTATCGCGAGAGTACGCTGCAGCCGCACACTGAGCTTTTTCACAAGGTACCCACTGTAACCAGATTCCCACGGCTGATTGTGCAATAATTGTCAGCTACACCTCTTTGCAGTGATAAATGTGGCATTAAATACATGGGATTCACGAATATATTATGTCAGTCTGGCTGTCTCATAACAGGCAATTATTATTATTTAAGCGGGGATTGGTAACACAGAATAAAGTTTAAATAAAACGTTTGACTAGGTTATAAAATATGATGTTTATTGGAATTCTAATGATTTTAACTCAGTCTGATTAATTTATTTATGACCTCAGTTCAAACTAATGTATTGCGTCATGTGGGAGATTGGAGTCCTTTAAAATGCATACATCTCGAATAAGCTATAATGTGTTTGTACAGCTGATGATCCCCCATTGTGATCACAGCGTTTTGTTTTGTTTTGTACATTGTTCTGCATGAGGTTGACAAATAAGGGAACTAAAGCCTACAGTTTGTGTCTAACACCTGACAGAGACTATAACCAAGGATGGGTTCAATATAGCAATTTTAGGAGATAAGGAAAAAAGAGCTACAGACCTAGAAGGCTCATCTTTAAACGTGGTAGAGAGGAGCTACATCATAACAAACCAGCTGCTGTTGTCACACTGGACAAGATGTGAATAAAAAAACAAATCAGTAAATTAACTATGCAGCTAACCACTCTTTCTGGGGCACAAAACAGAATAGACTCCATATAGAGTACATATATTGGGCAAACTTGCTGTGTTGCTGAGCTGTTAGTACTAGCAGATATCTTAAAAGGCAAGATTGACCAGTTACTTTAGATGCTTTTTATCCATCTTTTGTGGTCTCAGGACAATCAGAGGCAAAAATACATCAAGGTGTCCTTTAATTATGGACAGCAGCATATAACAGTAACAATTAAAACTGTATAAAATTACATAAATGTACAGATTTACAGAGTAAAAAATATATCAGCATTTGGATACTACTTTAAAGTAAGTGCTATTGCATTATATGGCACTCGTGACATAAAAAAGAGGGGTTCCATGAGTTTTACAATAAATCTGAAAATGTATGATTCTTAATATACAAGATGATAATATGAGAAAGATACTTTCCACAAAGACAAATAATGACTTAAACATGTATCATATTTTTTCCTGAGTGAGAATTCAGTTTCTTAACAAGTCAAAATCCGTAAAGTCTCAAGAAAATACTGTACTTGTATCCCCGCAGAGTAAGAAAAGGGTATGTGCATTTTTTTTTAACAATGCCATTGTAAACATGGTGATTTAAAGTTGCTTTCATGGTTATATTTTCCAGAAGATCTTTTTCCTATACAATATATAGGAGATAAAGACCCAACATGATGTGGCCACAACATTTTGTATGAGATGTTCCAAATGAGATTGGCTGTTGACCATTTGCCAACGGAAGGGAAAGTATTCCTCAAAGACTTCATGACCCACATACACGAGAATGGAGTTCATACCTGAAATAATGTTCATAAACATTAGAAACATTTCTAAAGCCAAAGCCAAACGTGCGGTGTAAATTCCACAACAGTGAAAATACTGAAAGCATGTTAAAGTTCCCTGAATAATTACCAGGGTAGTAGAAAGGTGCACCAGACCACCACTTTTTCACGTCTATAATATAGTAGATGAGCACTAGCAGCACAAAGGCAAAACAGGCCAAAGTAGTCACATAGGACAGGGACCTATAAATTAAGAAGCAAACAAAAATAAAATAATTACTTCATGTGCATATTCAAGACTATATAAAACTATACAAAAACATAAAGGGACATATAACCATAACCAACCATAGATTCTTATTGACAGGAATATATCCCTGGTCTTTGGAACATCTCGTGAGTATTGCTGATATGACTCCCTATAGGATGCACAATTAATTTATTTGAACAGAAATGTTATACTAATAATCAAAATATAGTTAATGATGTCAGTACATTTAATGATCCAAATTCTTACCAAGAACAACCCCCATATAAGAAACCTTGACATTATGCTTCTGTGTAGATCTCTGTAATGCAGAATTATTTTGCCTGCCTGAAAAGAAAAAAACATTTGTCAAAGGTATAAAAAGTTATTAAATCCAAATTGAGTGATTTTCACATGTCAAACCTGTAATCCAAGATAAGCCATGACTATTGAGTTTATGCTGCCCAGAACACCTTCAGGATCAAATGGCATATGTGTTGCATAGATAACCTATAAGAAAATAAGAAGTGTTAACAGAAAATGGTAAATGGTCACATTTATATAACGCTTCAATGACACACACATGCACAGAGTACTCAGACACTGGGGGCTCGAAAGTGCAAGTGTCCAAAAAGTGCCCAAGGACACAACAGCACCTGTGGGAGCTGGAAATTAAATGCTAACCTATGGGTCCGTGCATCAGCTAACTTATCTTATGCTCTACCAACTGAGCCACTGTTACTCTCTAAGAATATATATAATATAGGCTAGAATATCCTCCTCCTCAGAAACCTATATAGAATATAGGTTTCTGAGGAGTTATCTCAGTGTCTTTATTGTCAATGGGTGTGTAAAACCAAGCCTCCAACAGTGAGCAGAGCGTTAAAGACTAAATCTGCAGTATAGTGGTCTGTTCCAGTTGTTTAGCTGCTCACTAACCCGTGAAGAGGGAGTTTGATAGATGTGTTTCGCTCCCAGCAGCCAGCGGTCAATATATCCAGCAGCTCCTCCAGTGCAGTTAGCATACAGACCCATGTCCCCTATTCCTCCTGGACCCAGATAACCCCTGTTCACACAACAACACCTGATTAATATCTTCTGTGTAGCCATGATAAAAAGCATTTTATTTGTACTTTGACACTTTAATCAAACATCAAATTAAAATTCTCTCATCAAATGCTGAATAAAACATCCTTGAGTTGGAAATAAAAGGCTGCCATGAGTAATTTAGAATAACTTTGCTGTATTTTTATTTTATTAAAAACAAAATGGCACTTTTCATTAGAACTCAAATTTCTCATGCCAATGACTTTGTATTAACAATTTACTATGAACAAATTGCTGTATGAGAAATTATACAGATAAAAGCTTTTCTTGCAGTGACCACTTATTAGACTCAATCACTTTTCAACTCACGTGGGGCAGTCAGGAACAGGAAGTAGAAAAGTAAGGCAAAGCCATAACACTTCTAGAAGGACCACACAAAGCCAGGATGGCCAGTAAAGCAAGATATCGAGAATAGGTGACCACCAAGTATCCTAGAAACAATGCATAAAACAATCTTTTTTATTAAATAATATAGTGAATAGAAGTGAAGCACATCTAGATAAAAGATTTGCCCACCGTAGTAATTATGTCGAGGTGGGCTCTTGCTACTAATAAATCCAAACATGCCACCACCAGATATGACCAGGCCAGACGCTGCAAAACGCCTGGAATTCTCAGGTTATCCCAGGACACTAAAAATAAGCAGATTTAATTTTTTTTTTTATATCAACAACCAGTAAATCATTGCATTACAGGTAAATTTTTTTACTAACAAGGTCCTTGGCAGTAATTTGGGTTGATGATGACAATCCCAATTCCAAAGAGCAACAAGGTCCTCCACACCACCTTCTTCAGTAGAGAGGAACGAGTGGCACCTGAACGCAGCAGCATGTTGACTGACAGGGCAATAGATGTCCCCATGATAAATACAAACCTATACAGAGCAAAATCATATTATTATCTGTGCAAGATTTAATTGGTGTGTGTGTTAAATGATAGAGAATAAGGCGCTTACCAAGGAAAAACTAGATCAGCAACAGTAAGACCTATCAGGGGCCAAAACAAGAACAATGGTATTATCTGACATAACACCTCAATTGAAACCTGCTGTCAACAAATCCAAATAAATAAGCCAATATGGGTTACCATTCCAGCTTGAATGCCTGAAGAACCAATATCTCCCTCCTCCATAGTTCACAAATACCATAACAGTTAACGATATACTGTAAGAAAGTATGTTTAATCATAGTATTACATGTTTACAAATGCAGAAAGTGTACAAATGACATATGCATGTACCCTCTGAAAGTATCTAGTGATCGCAATCTCTTGTTAGGGTTGGGAGGAGGAGGTAAGATGTTGTCAGTGGCTGTAGTAACCGTCCTGCCAGGAGAGCCAAGTTCCTAAATCAGAAAGAAATATGAAATTAACCATTGTGTTCTTGATTACCCCATATATATTTTAGCATTGTCATTGTCAAAAGATTTAGGATCAGCAAGAGACTTACAGAGTTGATCAACCGCTCAGTTTCCATAGAACCTGTCAGCTGAAAGTATACTCTTCTCACTGTCTCGAGTCTGGATACAAAAATACACTTCACTTTGGTATATTATTCTGAATTTAGTTGCATCTGTAACGATATGATACATTACCCAAACACTGTTCTTCCTACAGCAAAAAGTAATGCCAATCCAGAAAGGACAAAAAACGCTATTAGGATTGCTGTAAAAAAAAAAAAAAAGCACACATGCATTTCTTACCAGTAAAGCTATATTTACTCACACAGGCTTAGCCTCATAGACACAGTGTGACTCACGAGTGTAACTGTTCACCGGTTCTCCATCTGTCACTATGGTGCAGTCGGCTTCTGACCTATTGTTCGGATTTTTTATCCAAAGGGAGTAATTTCCATGCTCTCCAAAGTGAAAAGTGATTGCACTGTAAGATTAAAGTTACAGGTAAACCATAACATTTGGCCGGTCACTGTAAATACTAAAATCAACTTTGAAAGCTAGAACAATATGCAGGGTGTCCCAAAAAAATTGACAGAATTTCACAGGCTAATCATTTTGGCAATTCTTGATTAAATAACCTCAAATTTTCACAGAATGTATATAAACAGATCAAGATTTTATATTTGATGTTTATTTTTGTTCTGTTTTCAGGTTGAGTCATGCCATTCACTCCCAACTATAAGTAATTTTGCTTCTTGGAATATGCTCGCACACAGTCACCCAAGACAGTGCAGCGTGCCTTCAATGCAAAATCTGGAAAAACTTCACTAACTGGCAAACAAATTTAGACTTGATACAAAAATTTTAAAGAGGAAAGCTGGTTATGCAGGGCTAAAGGATCTAGTAGACCAGCATCAACATCATCACTGAGCTAGACTTAGTAGTTTTCAAGATAACTGCTTTTAAAATTATGTCAAATTTTTTGGGACACCCTGTATTTTGGAGCTGAGTATGTCTATACGTTTTCTTTGTAAAAATGGGGAGATTTTTGTTATTTTTGTTGTAGTACGATAAGATTTGGGCTGTAGCTGGTGAATAAGTCACTTTTATGGCTATGCTCAAGCCTTTTGATGATACAGTATATTTAAACTGGGACTGTCAGTGGCATAAAGTCATTTCAATATTATTGTTTATCGTTATATTTCTCTATAGTTATATATTGTGCTTTAAGATGTGTTATCATGGCAGGCTTAACATAGCATCTGGTACTATAATATGTTTATATACTATAGCAACTGCCAAAAACGTTCTTCTTCTCCTATATTACTTACTTGCAAAGCTGCTTGGCTGAAGTCGTATTAAGCATTACTGTAAGTCCATGCTGTGTATTCACAACAAAATGTGATGAATTAGGTTGGCCAGGATGGAGCGATGCAGATACCACTCCAAGCTGTTGATATAGACACTAAAAAGGATGTGAGATTATAGATTAACTCGCTGCAGAGAGTAAAACAGCAATTGTGTGCAAACTTACTTGGTAACATTCCTGAGAAGTCCAACTAACGATTACATCAGTGGTCAGCTCATTGCTGACTGTCAGTAATGCCTCATCCATTTTAAGTGGACGGTGTTTCTGATGTTGAAAGTTAGCTGTAGATGAGATGACAAAGAGAATAGACAATTATAAATAGCAAAATACCAGAAATACCAACCACATTAGAAGGGCTGCTAAAAATAGATGCCTCTTCTCCATTGTTGATCACCACCAACCTTATTGCATTCTGCGTAAAAGCTAACTAATAACTAAAAACTAACTAATGGGAACAAAAACAGAGTGACCAGATGTCCCTATTTACCCGGATTTGAGCCCCTGTGTCCCCCGTCCAAGCAGATTTATCCAAAACCATTGATTTGTTTCAGTTTAATAAAAGAAATGTCCCAGGTATCCCTATTTTTGACCTGCCAACAGTAAAAAGAAGCATATATAGTTATTTGATTAAGTAAAATACAGAAAACCGTGCTTAAAAATGACCAAAACACAAAGAAAATGTGACTATACTGACTCACATATTAGTCATGAATGGGCCGAGTGCAGAACAATTTTTGGTTTACAACCACCCCAAACCGAAAGCGTCCCAGTTTTTTTTTTTTTTTTTTTTTTAAATTTGAAGATCTGGTCACCCTAAATGAAAATATAAAAATACTTCTCCTGCATTGTCAGCTGCGCTAGTCCCTAATATGTTAGCACGCTAGCTAACCAAGCGCCGACCCAAAGATGAGGACAAAGCTCAGAAACTATGGCTGCAGTCCCGGTGGTCACATGCGACTTTAATCCGTAAAACAACCCGGGAGGGAAGTTCAAACTGTTCTCAGGAGATCAATGGACCAAAGAGAAGACGCGAACATGAAGCTAACATCGTGAAACAGAGTAAAAAAAATAAAAATCTACTCACATCTGCTGGACATTTCTGCTGTTAATGGCACTACACTTATAGCTACAATCAAAGCAACACTGGATAAATAAAATATCGTAAAACTGTCTAGATATTTCATGTTTTCTTGTGTTGCATGTATGTCCTTCTGTTTCTGTGCTGGCGTAAATGTTGTGGTTTTATTTTGTTTCTTTTTTGACATAGCAAATTCCTCCTCCTCAAATGACTTCCTTGTTTTGATTTTGTAGTGGGTGCGACACAGGACAAATTTAATTGCATCACCTGTTTGGCGCTACTTAAAATACCTAAGATAGTAGATCAAAAAAATGTTTATAATATGTAACACTTTGCCAACGATGTTTGTACAACATAGGAACAGAGCCCAGGAGAAGATAGCGTTAGATTGTGTAGCCATCAACATCCTGCCATTATCTTAAATGAATTTACCAACGCTTATGTTTCATTTGTAATAGGTCTGATACTATGGGCTTAAAGGTTCATGAAATACAGTTATTTTTTAAAACTGTACGTCCAATACAAAGTTAATACCTCGTCTAATGACTATAAAAAGATAACTAATTCTATACCTAAAAACATTTATATTGTAAAAGTAATAATCTCATAGATGGTAATTCTTTACAAATTCCAAAAATATGGATTAATGAAAAAGAATTCCCAAAAGGTAAATTTACTAACTTTGAATTAAGAAAATGTTTTAACAAAATCATATATCCATTCACACACAACCCAAACAATGTTGCCTTTGTTGTTGTTACTTTAAGAACCCAGAAATGATCAAAATTAGAACAAATTATCTTAAACTCCCCATTCCTAAAAAAAAAAAAAAAAAGCAAAAGAAGTTCATTATAAATCTCTGTCTGGTATGTACCCTTCCAATGAATTCATCACACTTTGGTAAAGAATGTAATAAATGTTCCTCCTGTGATATGGACATAAAAACACTAGAGCACCTCTTCTTTGAATGTGTCCATATATTACTTTATGGGAAGATGTACACTTGTGGTTGTTCTCTAAAATACCCCATCTAAAGGAGTTCACCATGACAGACATTATCTTTGGACTTCTATGTAAGGATAAAAAACATTAACTGTTGTTCTTTTTTATTTATTTGTAATTATTATACTTTTTTTTTCATCCACAAAAACTTTTTTTTTAAACCCTTTTTCATAACATTTATCAAAGAGCTCCAACTTTTTTTTCTTTCTTTTTTTTTTCCCCCTCTCACCTTTATGGACAGCAAGAACTCTATCATTCTAAAAAGAACTCATCACTAGCTATGAAGCACCTTATTTAATTTGTTTTACCTATTTTTTATTTTATTTTTTTTTTACATTGTTCCTGTCTGTTCTTGTCATGCTTAATTACTTGACCATGTAACATTGCCAATTTGTTTGTTTGTTTGCAGCCTATAATTTTGCATTCAAAAAAAACAAAAACACGACTGTGACTGTACATCTTATATGTAGAGTTTGTAAAGTGTCGCTGGGGGGCGGTATTGTTCTTTACTGATTATTATTTTGCGCTAAAGAAGGCGGCCACAGGCGTAATAATCGAGTACCGAGCGCTCAAGCGGCACCACCCGACGCATTCATATCGCCATGGATAAACAAAACGCACAGAAAAGGTAATTTAAGTTTTGTTGTACCATATTAACCGTTAACTCACAACTAAATCAATTCTGAACAGTAAGAGCAATGACTGCCTGGGCATAGAAATGTGTGATGGTTAATTACAAAGCATATTATTAACATTATCTGGCTAGCTACTTGAGCTAACTTTTGACTTGGTTTTATTCTTTTTGACAGCGTCAAAATAGCCGCTGGTGCAGTTGTGTGTGTTGAAAGTGAGATCAGAGGAGATGTGACAATAGGTAAGAGTGTTTTTATATATATATAATTACAGACTGTGATGGAGTTTGTTGCTAACATTCTTGAATATACAGATCAATACAGGACGGGGCGTGGGGTAATTCTATCTCGACGAAAAGATTGTGACTCATTGTAATCCCATTAACATGATCTAAATTTCATATGCATATATTTAGGGTTTCACTTAAAATATTTGAACTTTTTGATAGTTTTCAAACAATATTAAGGCAAGGCAAGTTCATTTGTACAGCACAATTCGTACCCAAAGTAATTCAAAGTGCTTTACAGAATAAGAAATACATTAAAGTCACAATACAAAAAAAAATAAAATATAAATAATCATAAAATTAAAAAGGGAGAGGCATTAAATGAGAGAGAAGAATGTAGAATGAAAACCTTTCAGTCATGTGTACAGCTAAACAGAACTGTTTTGAGCCTGGATTTAAACAGTGTCAGAGTAGAGGCGGCTCACATCTTCAGGTTTTAGCTGCATGAATCTGAAACGCTGACTCCTCGTGTTTATATTAAAGTCTTCAAACCCCAAGGTTATGTCAACACTCTTGAAACATTTGATTTGACAATGTTTGATATTTTTGTATAGTTTTTATGTTATAACTAAGTAATATGAAGTGTAAATTAAGAGATGCCACTGAATACTGTAAGATTTTCTTTGGTTGTGCACCAAAGTCACATTTACAAATCTATCCTCAAAGTCTCAACTTCTCCATCCCTCAGTTGTAGGCCCTCGGAAAAGAGGCAGGAGTTTTGTTATTGGCTGTCTCCTCTCTATAGGTGAGAGGAACAGCTCTAGGACCAAGGAGCTGAAGCTTTGAAACAGCAATTTAACATAGACAGAATGCGTCCTTGTTCAGATCAGCCTTATTTTTAAATTTTATATTTATATATATATATATATATATATATATATATATATATATATATATATATATATATATATATATTATATATATATATATATTATATATATAAAAACATATTTTTTTCTGTGTTCAGGTCCCAGGACAGTGGTTCACCCTAAAGCTCGAATCATTGCAGAAGCAGGACCCATTGTCATTGGAGAAGGCAATTTGATTGAAGAGCAGGCACTTATTATTAATGGGTAAAGTCCTTTCTGTGCTACTTTTTACTATAATTTTCACTTTTTAAGAATAACAATTTGTTGTGTTCATTTTAGTTTTCCAGAAAATATCACACCGGATTTGGAATTTGAACCAAAGACTATGACCATCGGCATCAATAACGTTTTTGAAGTGGGATGCAGTATCCTTTGAGAACTTTTTATTTATATTGGCCAACATAGCAATAAACTTATGTAAGAAAAAAAATTGCCTTAACATTCTTTAGCATCCCAAGCTCTGAAAATTGGAGACAATAATGTAATAGAATCAAAAGGCAAGTCTCTTTACTTTTCGCTGAACATTATTTTCATGTGCCACCAAGAGTTTTGTTCAGTGTTCTTCTTGTTGATCCTTTTATTAGCTGAAGTTGGTAGAAACGTCATATTGACCAGTGGCTGCATTATCGGAGCATTTTGCAGAGTCAACACCTGTGAGGTCATACCTGAGAATACGGTTATATACGGCTCAGGTTGCATGAGGAGGGTGCAAACTGAGAGACCACAGGTACGACAATGCTACAGCAGCTGTGTTTACATTCACGCTCAAAATCTGATTGAGATTTAAGACTATTAAAAGGGCATGTAAACAGCAAAATCAACTCATTTATTTCTGATTATGGTCCCTCTGATTACACATATCAGATTTTGTCATTTACATAATCTTAAAAGGTTCACAAATCAGATAATGATCAGATTTTGGTGTGCATTTAACGGCAGTATCTGTCTGGATGTTAGAATGGCATAATGGTGACGATGATTTTTTATTTACTTTTAGCCTCAAACTTTACAACTGGATTTTTTGATGAAGATTTTACCAAACTACCACCATCTGAAGAAGTCTGTCAAAGCGGGTCACAATCCCAGCTAGACCTCACTTTTGGACATTACATGCAGAAAATGTATTAAGTGCATATTGTAAGATAACACAACTATAGTATACAGTATAATCTCTTTATGTGATCTGATAACCCTGTTACCTTTAATTATAAAATATTTTCTTATGCTTCTGCTTTCCTATACCTTTTTGAACTGAGTTTGTTTTGTAAGATTAATAAATGACCTTAAATAAAATTGTTTGCATTATATACACAACAGTGTAAAGATTTAATCAAGCTTGTAATCACTCCAGCTCATACACTTCATAGATCATTTATTTAAACATTTATTTAAAAAGAAATCAAGTCCTGAAATTATAAGAGTATTAAATAAATGTCCCAATAACAGATAATTAAAATTGTGTAATGTTCAATGTAATTAATCACTGTACTGCACAGCACTGGCTGATTAAAGAGAACATGTGACATCTGGTCCTCCAAACAGTCACAGCATTTTCCTCACACTATGGTATATGTATAAAAACAAATTCTAGTGCATTAATAGCATGTGACCTATTGATCTTGCACAGTCTTGTGTTCCTCTCATCTCTGATCCAAAATAAAAGCCAAAATTAACAAACTAAAACCAATAAAGACCAGAGATGACAGATGGAAAAAAGAGAAGTCTGTATTATAGTTTGCGCACATCCAGCTGTTTCCAAAAATACTGTTTTCTGACCCTAAAGGAAGGGAGGCGTTTCATTTATTGGCTGGCACACCATCTGAATAGTCCTCCAAAACACCAGCCAAGTGATTGTTGTGAGTCTTGAACTGCCTTTTCCTCTGTCCACTCTGCTTCTTCCTCTTCTGGACTGGTAACTGGAAGACACAAGAAATCCACTTTAAGAATCAAACAAGATGTCTCATAACAAGGCCTGTCATGATGACTAATTCTATAAAGTGCGATATATTTCTGAAGTAAAGAGACAATAATTGATATACTGAAACCAAACCATCCTCCAAAAGTATTCTAAATGTATAATATTGTTAAAAATATGAACTTCAATAAATGAATAACAGTGTGATTCACAAAAGTTCCTTCCATCATTTACCGAAAGATAGTCGATATAGTATTTATCGTGACAGGATATATATAAAAGTCACTCACCACTTTCTTTGGTCCCGTTTCTTGCATTGAGGAAATGCCTTGTTTCTTTAAATACTCTTCAATTTTTTCTTCATCTATTGAATCAACAGGAACGCTCCTCCACAGCTTTTGAAACTCTAATATAAATGGAGTGATATTATAGAAGGTCCATTATATTCTGTCATATGGAAATACATGAAATTAAGAGGCTACTTTTGACAATAGTACTTACCTTCATCTACAACAAACTGGCAGTGTTTGTCATTGTAAAAAAGAATCTTCTTTTTGTCTGGCCTTGTAACAAAGATGATCTGATCTCCCAAAGCCTGTAAAGACATACATTTGTTTAGTTTTTTCATTCTCAGCAGTGCCCTTGTTTTGCAAGCAGAACACACAGCATGTAGACACACCCATTGCACTTGTATGCAGTAAAAGCATTCACTGGGCATTACCTTAATGGCTTTGGCAGCATTGGGAAGGCCCTCCTCAACATCATCCAGCAGAATTCCCCCCAGTCCCTGCTGTCCATGTTTGTCCAGAAGCCTGAGCAGGGCTTTTTTGTCTTTTAGATTGTACTTTGGTTTGAACCCATATGTGCCATCTCGAACTTCAATTTTTGGGTTACTGACAAGAGCCTACAATTAAAATGATATTATTTAAATGTAGAACAAAACAAAAAACTCTAAACACTATTCAAAAGATTCACACCTCATTCATAAGCCACTGTTTTTGCTTCATGCCGATATCGAGGAGTTTGGTCTCATCCAAAATTTCATCTAATGTCAGGAAGTGGGTGTCACCATTCTGATGCCTCGTCTGATGTGAAGATACAGAAAAAAAAAAAAGAAAAAAAAGCAGGATGCAGAGATGAGAACAGTTTTTCACAGAACATTTTACATCTTAGATCATTTTTAGAACAATTACAATATTTCATACATATAAAAAGATGGTGCAGAAAATGCCAATATTCAACAAGCCGAAATTCACTAGCAAGAGACGACTCAGCAGAGCACCATGCCAACTCTACAGTAATTATAAATGTACAGATAAGCAACACATTTCACTGTCTCCATAAACGAAGACAGCAGCGTGAGGTATATCAGTCTAGTTTAAATATATTCTACTTTCTTCTGTGAGGCAACGATAATATTCTTTACATCAGATGCCCTTTCTTTAGGGGCTGAGATTTGTACAAAACTGAATTATTTGCTCCTTAAATTGGTTGCATTCAAACAACATTCATAGTGGCAAAGAAACATATACAACAGTATTTTACCTTCATGTAATTGACTATTTTGGCCAAGCATCCGAATTTGTACCCAGAACTCGTCTTGATGTTGATGCCATTTGTGGATTCTGTGGAAAAGAAGAAACACCAGTGAGAAAAAGGAATTTGTATTTGGTTGTCCCATATGCTACCGTCAAAAACATATTTGGAGGGTGAAGGGGTAGATTTTAATCTGATATCACTAAAAAGTATCAATAGAAATCAGTTATATTTATTTATGTGCTCATTAAATAATTTTTTGATGGAAAAAGTGTGATATTTACATTATTTCAGCAATAAGGAAAGTGACCTATTGCTCTCGAATTATATAGACACAATGGCAAAGTATGTGATATCAACATCTCAGCTAGATGTTGATATCACATAATTGATTTCTATAAAATCTGTGTAAATTTTTAGTTGGAGGTACGTCACCTGCTTGTTTCTATGGAGAAGTAATTTCTCTGCTTAGAATGCTCCACAATACGACATTAAAATACAATAAATGTAAGGTAAAGCTGTTTATAGTTTTACAGCTCAAAAATACCAACAAAAACAAGTATTATGATTGTGAGCGTCCCCGCTTAAATTGGTCTGGTTTGGTCACCATGGCGATAGAAAGGTTTAATAACATTGTGAAACATTCCAGACAAAGCAATAACATTCCTATGGAGAAAAGCATTTGACCCTCCACCATAAAAGACAATTTTACACACTGCACCTTTAAATGTCTTGAAATGGCAATAGTGGGAAATCAGTGTCCATAAAGTATGCCATTTAGTTTATAGTTTTGTAATCCATGACAACGTATGGTGCTTAGAGCATTTACAAAATAGCTGAGACAGTAAGATATAAAATGCAGATCATCAGATGAACCTAACAAGGCAGGCTCCAGCTGGTTCTTTTTCAGTAGAACAGTGCTCCCCTGTGGTGAGTAGTCAGTCTGGCCCCCAACTCTTTCCAGTGAAAATGGAAAAGGACAGAGCCTCATGAATGATGCAGACTGTGGGCGGGACCCTCTCTGTGACTGTGAGTGTGGTGGGCGGGACTTCACGTTTCTGGCAGGCTGCTGGGCGAATGGCGCAGAGGCAGGACTAAGCGCCAACAGCCAATGGCAGAGCGGAGACTGCACTGAGCGGAGACAGAGCTGCAAGGAGTGGCGGAGGGAGACGTCTACCGCACAAGAGAGTGAGGGTGCATGAGGAAAACAGGGCCAGAAGGGGAGACTGAGGGCGGGTGAGAGTGGACATCACACACAGGTGGAGCATCTTCCAAGAACCAAGACCCACATCGGTAAGAAGCTGTTTATTTTTGGGAAGAGCACCTTTTATTACTGTGTGACTTAATAACAAACTGTGTGGTTTTAGAGGATACAAGCTTATCGAGCTGCGTAGAAAAGGGTTCGGATTTTGGACGAATTCAGCGTTTTCTGTTTGCCAAATTTAAAACAGACTGCAGCACAATTGGTGGCCATGAATCCATATTGTGCAACAGCAATATGCCTGAGAGCTGATAGAAGTCACAAGAGCAGAGAACTAAATACTGTAGCAAAAGGACAGCACGTGTGATTAAATAAACATGCTTCAGTCTGCTCCCATCCTCAAACCAAACGTGACATCACCATCATTATCTCACTGTTTGTAGGATGGACAGGATGTGTGTGAGCAGGCAGATGGAAGGAGACAGACTGGGCCAATACCAGGTTTAATCATTGGAGAAACTGCCTCTTTTACACCTCTCTGGGGTGGGGCTCAGTTGTGGTGAGGCAGCAGATGTTGGAGGCAGGTCTCTCTCTGTCAATAGGGGCAAATAAGCCCTGGGGGGTACCAGCGGGCAAATGAACAGTGCAAATCAAATTGTTGTGATGGTAATAAGTGAGGCTATTGGGCTAATTATAAGAGCTCTGCCTGCTATTACAATAGCGATCCTAAATGAGAAGAGAAAGTGATTGTGCTAAATTGCATTGTGTTGGTGAATTGAAATGAAAACCACACAGATATTAGACGAGACCTTTTGAAATGGAAGGACCTATTTGCATCTATAATCTAATTAGGAGCTCACAAAAGTTAATGTGCAACGCTTCAATAATCATGATTGGATTGCTTTTGCTTTTGCATTTGCCAGTTTTTCACAACAGTGCCCAGGGAGAACAGAATCTGGGATAACTACATAAGGTTCATGTTACGGTTTCAAGTAGCCCTTAAAACAAAGTATTGAAAAGAGAGAAAGTACTGCCTTTGTTTTGTTTTTGTTTTTTTTTATTTATTTAAATTTTTTATCTGCCTTGGTCATACTATTTATTTATTATTTAAATATTATGCTTACTGATTAATTGTGAAATATCTATAAAATAATGGTCTGAAGGTATGTACTGCCAATAGTTTCATTTTAAAGAGATTTTGCTCTTCTCTTGGAGGTATTAAAAATGCATCGACCTGCTGAGTAGTGTAGAGGCAACATGAGTGCCTCTCCTCCTCCCTGTAATATGGGTCACCAACAGTCTGAGTGCAGAATCTTATAAAGTCTGTGTGGGGCAAAACGGATACTGGCGGACCACTCAAGAAGGGACAGGCACCTTCAAATTATTTAGTACACTTTGAAATAGTTAATAGCTTCTTTATATCATAGTGTTGCACGATATTAAAATTTCACTAAGGAATTCACTCAATAGTCGATACTGATTACTATTCCACAGCAAAGATAAAAATGGACAATGGATCTTAGCTTAGCATGACATCTAATGTTCGTTTGGGTAATGCTCAAAATCATATTAAAACAAATGTCCTGTAATATGTGTTTTTTGCAACATTGACACTTGCTCAAATGAGTGTCTACTTTTAGTATCAGTGTTGGTATCGACTATTAGCTGATTGTCGACAGTTTTGACAACTGTTTAATGTCAGAAGTTATAACAACTGCCCTCCTGCTGTTTCTCCAGTACAGAATGGCCAACAGCACAGCCGCGACAACGCTTAACTTCCCCGAGGCAGAGCCCCTGTCCTACATGTCCATGCAGGTCCAGGAGGTGTACCCCTTTCATGATGGCTGGAACGTGGCCTGCTTCGTCATCCTCCTGCTCTTCATCCTCACTGTCGTCTCTCTAGCGGCATTAGCGGTTCTCTACGAGTTGCTGGACTGTGGCTGCTGCGCCAAAGGAAAGACTCACCTGCAGCTTCAGGCCGAGGGCCCCGGGAGCTGCAGCAGGCTCATGTCTGCCATGTGCAAACCACCCGACTCACAGACTGAGATCGTATGAAATGGATGAAGACTATTGTATTTCAGAGCCAAAAGTGTGTATTGCAAATAATCATCATGGAAAAAAGGGAATTTTATATAATTTTGAAAATGAATTTTGTTTTATATTACACTAAGGATCTCAATATTATATTTCATAATGCACTTTTAACCAACTTACAAAAACGTATTTAACATTTGAAGCCTTGCTAACAAAGCACAAATGTACTTTAACAGAAAAATAAAACAATCATGGCATCAGCAATACGTTTATGTAACAAAAAATGCTACAAGTACTGAAACAGTGCCCTTAATGTCTATACAATCACAGTACACACTTACTTAAGCTCACTAAACTGGCATAAGTAATAGGAAGTTATTATTGATTGAAAAATTATTATTGAAAGCTGTGTTTAAATGTTCTAGATGTATTTGTTATTTACTTTTGATTTATCAGAGATATTAAAGTTATGTACAGTATATATTGTTGTGTGTAGAGTACAAGTGCTACACTGCTTCATAAAGTTCAGATAAATTAACTGCTTTGATTACTGTGGACAAGCGTGGTCTCTCATCTTTGCTTTAGTTTAACAACAGAACCCTCAGTTTGCACCAATGTCCATCAGTGCCACATGTCAAAGAGTGATGTGAATTACTATGCCATATGGACAGTGTATGTTTTATGAATCTAACACAAAAATGCCTAATAAATGCCTAATAAATGCCCACAATTAATTGGTTTCTGTATTCAGTCAATCTATTCGAAAGGTACAATAATTTCATAAATTTTATGTTTATCAAGAGTGATAGTCATCGATATCAGGCTCTCTTTTTGCATACAGACAGTAATTTACTTAATTTACTTATTTTTATTTTAAAAGGTCCTATATTACACAAAATGGGAGTTTTAAGCCACGTTAAAATGTTCTTACCTCGTCAATACAAACCCAGAGTTGCGTTTCCTTTCATTCACAAGTTTGAGTAACTATTTATTATAAGACAGTTAGACAGACTCCAAAATGCTCTTTTCCACCTTGTGATGTTATGTGTAAGAGAATTTAAGTAATTTAACCTCCACGTATATCTCAGCTTAACACTGTCTCACAGGAGCTATAATAACACAATCATCTCCTCTTGGCATACCATTATCTAAATTGTGGCATATTGCTGTCTAACTGGTGCTTACTGGCCCCTTAGTCTCACCACACATGTTTTATAAACCTCCCCCTTTGGAAGCTTAGTCAAGGGGCATGAACACTCAAAGATCAGACTATGCTCAATTTTGAAATCATACCATGTTGACTTTTCAATTCCCTCTGTGCCCATATTATTGATGGTAAATAAACTTCTACTGCTTAAGACTTCAGTTGGTCTCCAGCCTTTTACTTCCACCCTTTCTTGGACAAAATTAAAACTTCTACAGCATCAGGTAGTTTTAGTTTTCAAGTTAAGAGCTCCTTTCACCTTTAGTTTAGTTGAGATTGGAAACTCCAGTTCTGAAATCATCCAAATGATTGTAGTGAAGGTGTATGGAGTTTAAAACACAGTAGAGCACTTTCTGTATTAACACATGACATCACAAGGTGGAACAGAGTGTTTTCTGTTTGAGGAAGAACTCAGTCAAAATATGCAGGGTTTGTGTGAATGAAACAAAACATGACTCCAGGTGTGCTTGTGTTGAGGACACATTATAAGATAGATCAGAATATTGTGTAATATGGGACCTTTAAATGAATTTCTATTACAGATCTGGCTTTGATGTCAAGTGGTGTAGTAGTTTGGGTAAGTGACTTTTGAAGTGGGTGTAAAATATGATAACCTGTAGCTGCAATGGGATACTTGGAAAGCAACAATCTTAAGATAATTGTAACTCTAGACAAAACATGCGGTCTTCTTTACATGTACACACAGGACACAGGTTTGCTTACCAGAGCCATGTTTGGTGCCGGAGGAGCTGTCCCTGTCGACTTTAGGTTTCTTCTTTTTGTGTGAGCCTGAATCAGCAGAGGCAGGTCTTTTCTCTACAGCAGGAGTGGAGAGGGCTCTCTTTTTGAACAGCTCCCGCTCCCTCAGCAGAGCGGGGTCCATCCTGAAACAACACCATGATGATACTTTTACATTAAATTTATTTGGCATCATGTTTAGAATAAAAGAATAAAAGGTCGTGTGTATGATATCAGCTCCCAGCAGCTCTCACAATTCGTTGCCACAAATGAAGACAATATTAGCATGATTTGGGATTATCTGGTGAACATACACTCATGAATACAACGAAAGCAATAGCATACTTGCGAATACAATCTTGATGTTCACAAACAAACTAAATCCATACGACATTTTCACGTTTAAATGAGGAATAAACCCACATCGTGCACACACTTAGCTTTCATCTAGCAGCTCTTCGTTAGTTTTACATTACCTGAGAATACGTTCCTAATCCCAAAGAAACGTTTTCGTATAGGAGGATTAAAACAAGAGAATTAAGTAAAAAAACAACAAAAAAACAAAAAAAGAATTTTCTTTCAGCAGTATGATAAACGACAGCTTAGAAGGAAAAGTGAATTGTTCTGTTTCTCACTGCGGTGTCTCATAATGCACTTCCGTTCTGTTCGATCATTCTGTGATCAACTGAAAATCCTTGGACGTCATCTTCGTGAGTAAAAAAAAAAAACATCATTCATTTACGACCATGTTTTAAGATTTGATACATAAATTATAATCTTGACTTTAATAATATTATAAATAGTATCAATTATTTTGGAGTCTCGGATTGAAAGGGATAAGGAAAGACCAGCCCCTGAAGTGAAGTGCCACCTAGTGGCAATTCTATAAAAATGCATCACATCGCATTTGTAATATTAAAGAGACAGTATGTAAAATGTTGTTACATTTCATAAACATGACCTGTGTTTGAAGCATAGACTCGTCCTCAGATACGAGTTCATTTCAAATACAGCTTTTTACTGACTACTACTGTAATGCTTATTCTTGTATATATCACAAAAACAGGACAAGTAAGCTAAATGTTATAATTTGCTGTTACTTCAAGGCTACTATCATGTCTGAAAACAGAATAAACCTCACATGAGTTTCATTTGATTTGCCAGTTTCAATATTGAAATCCAGTTGGTTCAAGTAAAACTGAAAGGACCCCCGTACCTGCAGCCAAGTCAGTGATTCTTGGCTGTACTCTCTGCACCTCAGTGTGAATTCTGGAGGAGTTGAGTTTTTGCAAAATCTTAAGTTTATAACTGAAAAAGAAGAGATGCAGGTTTTTCTTACCATTGCATATAAGCCTATAGGCATATCAGTTGTCTCTAACATTGTAATACTAAAGACTTGTCAATTTAATGAACAATTCATGAGGTATGCTGGGGGATTTCTGTTAGAAAAGTTTGTGGTGCTGTCATCAAAGAGACACTTGTTACATCTTCTGTCTTCTTCTCAGAAATGTACGTATGGTATTCTTCTAAAACTGCAAAACTATGCATTAAACATACTTTTGAACAGTTTCTCTGCATAGTCTGTGTGCTTACACAGGCCTACCACTTTTTAGACTTTTATGAGTCCTTGGCCGATCTCACTTCAGATATAAACTGAAGAGCACACATTTCTGCCACTTTCCCATGTTCTCACTCATGAAACGTGCATCTCCAAAATATGGGATAAAAGATTCAGGAGGCGAGTCAAAGAAGTGCATCATGAATGATTAAATATCTGCTAACCTAATTTGGGGCCTCTTTCATAATGAATGAATTTCAGTCTTTAGTGATTCTGTGCCACTTAAAGGGGACATATTATGCAAAACTGACGAATTAGTATTTAACCATGTTATAATGGGGTATCCTCATGATTTGCTTACTCAAAGTTGTGGTTGAGTGAGGAGTGCCACCTATAGGCCTACTATGACACCATTGTATAGAAAATATTATACATTATATTAAATGATACCTATATAAGATGAATTAATCATATGCTATACTGTATCATAACAGTCATTCTTTATTGATCATGCTTGGCTGAAAACGCGTTGAGTTCAATACGTGCAATGAGCAGTAGATGGCAGTAGAGCTGCAGTGTTCCTCTCCAGTGGTGACTCAGACTGAGCAGATAAAACAGCCCAACCTGCTGCACTGACCTCAGCCTGCTCCACTCTTCTGCTGCCATCCTCTGAGAACCAGCAGCACTATACGGCTGCACCACCATCCCAATGTTAAACCCAGTGGAGAACATCACGGGACAGTGCGTCTGTAATAGAGCAGAATGGGGCTCTGACATGCTGTCATGAGCTAAAACAGGCCAGCAGTAACTGGCTTTGTTCACACACTTTTATTGTGCCCTTTGTATCAACCTTGTATCAAAGAAATCAATGATGTGCTGTTGACTGACTGCCGAGGAGCACAGCGGTCAAGCCAGGCAATCTTTGGCTAAATCTGCCCATTTAAGAGCAGGAAGAAAGGCCTCGGAGGGACTCAGAACACGCTGGCTGCTTCTCTGCTGTTCCGGGGCTGTTGATGGTTATATAAGCCTGAACAGTCACTTATCGATGGGCACACTTCTGTTCAGCAGCACTTTTTCTTTTCTTCATATCTGCACTCAGTGGCAGAAAGTGTATCCCAGTATCACTGAAAAAGCATTTTGCTTTGCTGTTAATGTAACTGGAGAAGCCAGCGTTATGAATTTCACAGCCAACAGGGTGCAGGCTCAGGTGGTGGGCTGGTTGTTGCCTATTATAAGGTTGGCAGTTTGATCTCAGCTTCGTCTAGGCTTACGCGTGTTGTTGCTATGTCCTAGAGCAAGATACTTATACACTGTCATATCTGAGGGATGTTTGGTGGTCAGAGAGGCCATTGCAGCTCAGCAGCCACATCTTCATCAGTCAGCCTCAGGGCAGCCGTGACTATGAAAGTGAGTGAGTGGTTTAGATAGAGTAGGCTAATTGTTTTATAAGCTTAGTGCAGTTAAATGTGTGTTCGTTTTCATTCTCGATTACGTCAACTCTGCATTTTGCCTTGATTTAGTGTTAAGTTCACCTCTTAATGTCAGCTTCATCAGTAATGCCCTTTCTTACCTGACCTGCACTTGTGTGTCTGCGGTAACGTAGGCGGTGTTGGAGCACTGCAGGATCTCCAGGTGAAATGATTGTGCACTGTCCAAACTCCACAGGGTTGAGCTAATCCGAACCGGGCCGTTTAATCTGAGTATTGAGCTCCGCTGGGGGGTAGGAGAAGGTGTGTGTGGGGGGCGTTAGCTCCTGACGGTGTAGAGGTCAGAGCGGCATGTCTGCGGGTATGAGTGATGCCTCTCTTACCCTTTCAAAATGTCACAAAAGGGCCAACTGACGAGGAGCCCATTCATAACATGAGCAGGGCTTATGCTATTTATTATGTTATGGGCCTGTAAATCTGTTGTCGTGATGATCACTATGGCAGCGGTTCTATGTAAAGTAAATCATTAAGGTGAGTCACACAGCACCAGGCTTTGGGAAAATCAATGCAAGTCAATGGAATTCAGCTTTATTTAAATCAATGCTCTTACCCATTTGATAATCACTGTATGTGCACTTAGGCAGACGGCTGGAGTGTGGGAGACAATGTAAAATCCTCCGGTATAGAAACACATAGTCAACTTTTCTATGCCTCCTGATGGAAATTTGTCATCTGTATTTGATTCATTCTTCTGAGAAAACGTCATGAGTCCACAGTTGTGGTTAAAGGTCAAAATTGACTATTGTGAGCTTGACACCATGTTATAATGCTGTATGCGGTATCAAACAGATACCCAGAGGTGTGCTTTGTTTCATTCACACATGTCTGAGTAATCCTTTATCCATCTACTGTGATGTCATGAAGCTGTATTTTTTAAGTTAACAGCGACCTTTTACCTTTTGTTCAATTGGTAATTCCATAGACAAAGTATTCTAATGAAGTTGTATGAAGTAGTTCCTGTATTACTACATGACAAGACAAGACAAGGTGGAACAAAGTGTTTTCTGTTTGAGAGAAGAACTAAGCCTTAATATGCAGATTTGTGTGTTAAACATGTGTGAATGAAAACAAAGCATGTGTTACAAACAGGGAATAGTCCATAAAGTTCATTTGGTCTTCCAGTTATTTATGTTATCAGGTTTTTTGGTCAGAGCAAGAGTTTATTTTCATATCTGACAGTTTCGACTGCTCACTACCGGTCATGTGATGCTGCTGTGACGTGTCCAGTCAGCTGATTTATACAGGTTTTGGCACTGTCTTCCTACCAGAGGAGGCAGGACGACACAATACCCTGCATGTCTTGCAATAGAACATACATCGGGGAAACAGGGAGGGCGTTCAGTACACCAAAAAAGGAACACAGGACATAATGTGAGAAGGAAACAGCGAAGGCGTGCACACAAGCAACAAAACTCAAAGCAGAACAGAAACAACTCAAATCAGCCATTTGTGAGCACTGTAAAAGAGAGAACCACATTAGGGACTGGGACCAAACAAACATCACTGGGACGGAGGGAAAAAACTAAGTCGCTGGATTAAAGAGGCAATCAAAATACGGAAACATGCCCACAGGACTATAAACTGGGACGAGGGGCGTTTTTACTCTCACACACCTGGGATACTGTCCTGAGGATGTCGTACTGCAGATGGCACTGTCGTCCTGTCTTCTCTGGTAGGAAGACAGTGCCAAAACCTGTATAAATCAGCTGACCGGACACGTCACAACAACATCACGTGACCACTCTGAGGAAGACAGCGAGTGAGCAGCCGAAACTGTTAGGTATGAAAATAAACTCTTGGTCTGAAAAAAGAACCTAATAACATAACTCCAGGTATGTTTTTGATGAGGAAACATTATAACATGGATCAGAAAACAGAATAATATGTGCCCTTTAAGCTCCTGGGACTACAGTAGTTCTATTCAGGAGTACCTAACTTAAGAATTGTGAATGACAAGATGCCCTATGTAACAGGTTTCCTTACTCTTAATTCTGTTAATGATTTAACCCCAATTTGTAAGGCCCTTTTCTGCAAATCCTCACTGGTTTTAATCTACGGCCACAAATCACCCCTATCTTCATAAAACATACCTTTAAACAGTTTAATATGTTCAATCACTTCTTAAAACCCACTTTTATCATAATTCTTTATGGCATTATGAAATGTCTTCTATTTTTATGTCTTCTTCTGTTCCTTGTATTTTATGTTTTGTATTTTATCTTCTGGGGATGTATTGTATTTTTACTTTGTTCTGAAGCACTTTGTTAACTCTGTTTTTTAAAGATTATTATGAGTGTATTTCTTTGCCTCATTGAAGAGAATTATCTATTTATCTGTTTGGTTTAGTAGCCAGTAGCCTGTCTAGACACAACACCTTTACAGTTGGTTGGGTTCAATATTTTTCTCTTGTATCTGATTCTAAATTGATATGAGTCCCATTAAATATGTAACCCAGACCGATGTAATATTTTCCCATTGTTTATCCACACTAGCATGACACAGATATCTGCCTGGCTCTCTCCGTGTTCCTTCATTCTGTGTTTTTGGGCTCAAATATATTCCCTTCCCATGTGACTAATACTGGTGCTAACAAAACAAGAGCTCCACAGTGCTTTCCTGG